CTCAATTGCATGAAATTGCAAAGGGTCTTGAGGCTTGTGGCCAAAATTTCATTTGGGTTGTCAAAAAAAACGTGGATGAAAAAGACAGCGAGAAATGATTTCCTGAAGGATTTCATAAACGAATCAAAGGGAAGGGATTAATTATAAAAGGCTAGGCTCCCCAGCTTTTGATACTAGAACATGAAGCCATTGGTGCATTTGTAACTCATTGCGGATGGAATTCAACGCTGGAGGGAGTGTGTTCTGGGGTGCCATTGGTGACTTGGCTCATGTTTGCAGAGCAATTTATTAACAAAAAGTTGTTGACTGATGTTGTGAAGATTGGTATTGGTGTTGGAGTAAAAGAGTGGGGCAAAGTTACAAAATATGTTATCAAATGAGAAGACATTCCTAAAGCAGTGGAGCGGATTATGGTGGGTGAAGAAGCTATCTAAATCAGGGGAAGATCTAAGGCATTAAAAGTGACTGCAAAGAGAGCTGTGGAAGAAGGTGGCTCTTCCTATTCCAGTTTCAATGCACTCATTCAAGATCTGAGTGCGTACCAGTCAACCACAAATTAGGCAAGACTAAACAACTTTAAGTTTTAAAATTGACTGAGAAAAGAAAGATCATTTGCCTTGGATGACCTTCACCACCAAATTTCTGCTATCCTCTACTTTTTTGTGTTTTACGTTTACAACTTAAATATAACGAAATCTTTTGGCTCTCTAACATTCGGCTTCCTTTGGTGAAGTTAAAAAGGTTTTTGACCAAACAGAGATATGCAAGTGTTGTAGTTTTTCTAAGTTGTAGAGTTATATGTGATCAAAGTCCTTAGTTACAGCCATGCGGGGATAGGATGATAAGAAACAAGTTGATGATTTTTTTTCTTGGCTAATCTATTACCCAAAGAAAGTTTACAAGTAGACTGAAATTAGTACTTTTGGTTCTTTTTTCAAACTTATATTATCTTTTTATTTTGTCCAATCATATAAATTTTTACTTCTAAAATAGATTGAAAGATTTATAAGTTTTACTTATAAGTCAGCCAACCATTTGTCCCGAACCGAGAATTTTTTATTTTTTCTCCTAATTTTATTAAATATACTTTAAAACCCATACTGTTTCATGGTCTTTTATTGTATATATCTCTCTCTCTATATATATATTGTAAAAGTATTATTCCTTTTCTGATTATTTATTTTATAATAATTGAGTCGACTTAAATTAACAGACGGGAGCTTAATTTGACAAGCAGGCGCCGGGGCATCTGCCCAGGCCAAGTATCTAGTTATAATTAGGGGAGAAAACACAAAAAAAGGGAGAAAACACACATAAAAAATATAGCGCCCGAATTAACTAATCCCAGTAACATGTTTCTTTTCTTTTTTTGGTCAACTACCGTGGGCCCAGGTGCGGAGGTATGCAGGGCCAAAGGAGATTCCCGGTTTTTTTTTTTTTTTTTTACCTTCATGAGTAATCTTTGTGCCAAACAATTTTTGCCTCCTTTTTTCACTTCCCGCACAAAACCGACAAAATGAAAAAAAATCCCGCCCAGAACCAACGGCCAAAAAAGTGGATGAAAAAAGGAAATAAACAAGGCCTAAAAAATTTGGGGTTGTCGCTGTTGAGCAACGAATTTTACGGTGGTTTGGGCATTGAATGTTAAAACAAAAGGAAATCTCACAGGAACTGCCGCAATGATTCATCACTATTTCAAGAGTCCCCTTCAAGGGGGTGGATTTTTTCAGCCACCCAAATTAGTACTTGAAGCCCCACCAATTTTGAAGAATTTTCCTTTTGCCTCTGCCATTCGGACGGAACCGGGGCAAGTCATTCGGTCCGATTCACATGAAAACGGACAAATTATTAATTTTTATTTTAATATTAGTTTATTCGTAGTATCATTACATGTTGAATACCTCGTACTTTAAATATTATTAACAATATTTATACTTTAGTGCTTAAACTCTCGATTTTATATTTACTTGAAAATAAATAACTAATTAATTTTTACTTGAAAATAAATTTAAGATTATTTGTTAAGTTAATTTATTTGAATTGATATTAAAATATAAATTTTGCTTTAATCATTATTTTAAAGATAATTTTTAGTTAAAATAATAATTATACATTTATAATGAAAAATAATAATTGTACTACAAAGATTGTGACAAATATGTGAAAATAGATTAACTATTTTTTGTACTACAAAGATTGGTGATACTTAATGTAACTCAAATAATAAATTATTAATAAATTTAATGACCTAAAAACTAGATTAACTAAATACAACAAAAAATTTAAAAATTAAAAAAATAGCAATGAATCCGATTAATTTTTTTAATTTTTAGACTTTTTTAAATAACAAATATTGTTATTTTTTAATTACAAAAAAAAACAAAAAAAAAATAAAAATTAAAAAAAAGGGTCTGACCAGTCCGGTTCACCATATCAAACCGAACCAAGACCGGTCAAGTAATAAATCCGTCTCGAGTTAACCCGGGACGGGTAGATCACCCGATCAGTCATTTGTTTTTTCAATTTTTTTATTTTCTCTCTAGTCAAATTATTTAATTTGAAAAAATTATAAGGATGAAATGATCCAATTTTAAAATATATGACTTCAAGTAGTAAAGGTGGCAGTTTTGAAAATAAACACCTTTTCAATTCCCCTACTACAGCCTACTATGGCTGGGGTCAGCCCCTGTTTGATTGTTTGCGTGAATGGATTAGAGAAGAAGAGGTAGCAATAGTATTTAAAACTAGTCGGAAAGTTGGGCGAAAATCAAACTTTTGGTTGTTGCAACTGTTTTTCCTCTTTGCAATTCACCATCTTTCTTCTCCAAGAGATTTTTCATTTTTTTCCCGGTTTTTACTCTCTGTAATTTGTTGTTTGGACGGCAATTTTGACAAATCCTTGATTAATTCTTGATCCTTTCGTTGGCACCAGCTTTCTCCTTCTAGAGAAAAAAAATCTAAAACATTTTTGTCCTGCAACCTTTGGTCGGACTTCTTCTGAGAAGAAAATTAAAGATTACCAACCTATAATTACCCAATTAAATGAGATTCCTTATCAATCCGTCAATTGAATTCTATCTGTATTCCTTCAAGTACTCTGTTCGTCTCGACACCGGAATCACCTTCGAAATCGCCGTGGCCATCTCGTCAATGCCTAAACCCGCTGACGCAAAACTAACGCCGGTGGCAATTCCTTATGGGGTAAATTTTAGGTTAGAAAGGAGGAATTGTTTCCTTGAGACAGAACATGGAAGCCAAGAAATCGGGAACCAATTTGCCATTGGAAAACCTTCCTGTCGGAACTTGGCCGAGAAAATTATCGCCGTGCAGAAGGATTTCTCTGTTTTTTTTTTTTTTTTTTAGAGATTTTTTTTGGTGGGTCATACTTCGTTTGTGAGCCCCACACACAGAATGAAAATTAATATAAAAATTAAAAATTGACGGAAAGTAGACATCTCTCATTAAATCCAAAAAAATTCTGTCAATTTGATGGAAAAATTATTTTAAAGGATTATTTTTGCAAATTGAAAATATATGGTGACTAAAGTTTGTTACCCTCAATAGCTGAGAGACGAAAAGTACGTTTTATCCTTTGAAAAACCTAGTGAAAAGCAAACTAAACAGTAATCTCATTTGTATTTACAGCAGTCGCAGAATCCACAAGGTAGTCCCCTTACCACGGTTTCTTTATTCTGGGAAGCTGTAGAGCGCCCTAATTTTTTCATTTGAGCGCAGTAAAAAATTATATTTTGACCATTTTACCCTTATTATTATTATTTAAAAAAAAAATACACTGGCGAAGGACATTTGCGCTAGCCGTTCATGGCTGGTGCAGGAGAAAGGCGCCACCCGTTAAAGGGTGGCGCCAATTTTCTCGCCTCCCAATTAAGGGAGGAGAGAAAAATTTTGCTGTCCAAAATGGGGGTGGCGCACAAATCTGGCGCCATCCCCCTCGGTTTGGCGAGCAAAACGCTCGTCAAACCGAAATTACTTTTTTTAAAAAAAAATTTCTATTTTTTAATTAATTTATTTAATTCATTTATTTATTTAAGTTTATTTTTTATTTATTTATTTGGCGGTTGAACAAATAATTTTAACTTAAATATTTGACTTTGTAATAATATAAATTAAATGACAACGAAGTGCAGTTTAGAGGTAAGACATCTCATCTTTGACCAATAGGTCACGGGTTTGAGTCACATAGGGGGTAAATGGGAAACTACTATTAATCTTCTTTTAAAAAAGAAAAAAATATTAAAAAATTATATAAATAAATAAAAGTATTTAATATTTTTTCCATGCTTTTTAATTTTTTGTTTCAACGTATTTTATATTTTATATTTTTTTCCAAAAAAAATTTCCAGGACAGCTAGATGCACTAATGATAAATAATTAATTTATTTGGTAGTAAATTCATAAGTTTTAGTTTTTATTAAATGATAATTTTTTGTTTACATTTAAAAAATTTTACATAACTAAATGATAAATTTTTATAAAAATTTATTACGTAATTAAGTAACATTCTCCAAATATTTAAGTTAAAATTATTTGTTTAACCACCAAACAAATAAATAAAAAAAAATAAACTTTAATAAATAAATAAATTAAATAAATACATGAATTAAATAAATTAAATAAATACATGAATTAAATAAATTCATTAAACTAATAATTAAAATAAATAAAGAAATTAATTAAATACATTAAAAATAATTAAATTAAAAATAATTAACTAAATAAATTAAAAAATTAAAAAATAAATAATAAAAAAAAGTAATTAAGGTGGATGGCGCACAAAATGGCTCCACCCACCCTTTGATTCAACACAAATGTGGCGCCCAGAAGAGCGCCACACCTTCGCCATGCGGCGAAGGTTTTCTCACCTCCCTTTAGAGGAAGGTGAGATTGTTTCACGCCACCCCTTTAAGGGGTGGCTTATTCCTCTCTCGCCTTTTTTTTTTTTTTTTGTAAAAAAAACTAATGTAATTCTATCTTGTAGGGGCATGTACATCTTTTTAAGGCGTTCAAATGAAAAAATTAGGACGCTCAACAGCACGACTCTTCTTTATTAACTACCATAACATTTAAAGAGGAACTAAAATTGGGTAGATTCCGTAGCATGAATATCCGACGGAAAAGACATATTAAGAATTATGCACTGAGCTTAGTGTTCCAGAAATCATGGAACAAAGCATGATGCTCACGACAAAGCCAGACCTGCCCAAAACCCAAAAAAAAAAGTAATAATAATAAAAAATAAAAAAAATGAAACAAAAACAAAAAAAAAAAAAAGAAAAAGAAAAACCAAAACACGTTAGAACATTCACCTCCAATCTACAGAAAGCATAAACCCCAATTTTTCCGCAACTACAGTAATAAGCCGAAGTGGTTACAAAGCCCTCAATGATCACTTGTACAGCCTTCTTCAAGACAGTAGACAACGTCTTTATAACTCATTTATTTGGTGGTCTGCAACCATACTGTTCAACCAAGACTAGCTTCACTTGTTGACAACACAAGGTTTGCTTCTAAAAAAACAAACATTCTATAACCGAAGCAACATTATCTCTAGGTGACGAAGAAACTTCTCCCCAGGAAAAAAGTTCAGTAGCTTTCTTTGTTATCTTCATATACTTGGGTTCTTATATGTCTTACTGTCTGGCAGGAGAAGCCCTCTGGAGATGAGAAAGGAACTTTAGCAAGTGAAGGCCAGGGGAGCTACCAGTGAGAAGCACAGTCAATGTAGGCTTTCGTGAAAGTTTAAGAAATTGTGAGCATGTCCAGAGCTCAACTACCTAATTTGAAAGCATCGACAAAAAGGCCCAAGCACACACCTGCTTTCCAATAGTTTATCATCACCACCAGAGACTGCAACCGACCACCAGAAACAGGGTTAGGCTTTCTATACATTAGCATACCTATGCCCTCTATTGCAGTAACTACAATTCCAGCTACTAGCACATCCCAGTCTCCAGTTTGCCCAAGAATTGTAGCCAAGGCATTTGCTGTGTAGAAGCCTAAAAGCAGGAGAAATACCTTCATCGGAAAATTCTTTCTAGCTGAACTAAGCTTTTCTAAAAGCTGCCTGCCTGCAGCACCCACTATCCTCCCCAAACGAGTTGCACCTAGACCGGAACCAGAATTGTCAAAGCTCTCCTGGTTGTTTTCGGGAAGTCCACCTGTGTTCAAAGCAAATGCTGTTCTCCAACTAGATCTACTTGCTTGAGGGCTTCCATTTTAATTTCGATCAACCAATAACACAAGCCAATTAATAAAATAATCCATTTACATAGGAGAATTTAAAGAGTAAACACAGCATCTCAATTAAATTGCCAAAATGACCAGAAGCAATAAACCCTGTTATCTTCTTGTCTATAGAGTCAAAACAGTTTGGCAAAGGAAGTTTTCAGCTCAAGTAGTGCCAATTATTTTTGATAAACAAAAAATGTATACACTCCCCACTTTAAGGATACACAGGTAAACCAGCAAGTTCTTAACAAATTTCTGGAAATCTGTGATATCCACAAAAATAGAAACAAGTTTGTCCCAAGCATTCTAAAGTTCAGATTCGTTGAAATATACAATGTTAAGAGTGTTTGTCTTTAGGATATACCACCAGGAGTAGATCATAGATCTGATATACCACAGCAAATTTCATAACACACATCAGAACAAAACAAGAGTTCTTCAAATATTTCACATACATTGTCTATGGCTTCCCTCACTGAGATGGACCTTTTTAAAACTGTGCATATCCTTAAATTCAAGCACAAAGTCACAGAAACATGTCATTTGTTATACTTAGCAAATACTATGAGCGAGTTTATTTATTACTAAATTTACCAAAGTAAATCAAATTCAAAGCAGGTATCCCGGAAAACAGGTATAGAATCTCAAAAGCAGGTATATAGATAGTATATGGGCTGCTTTGGCTAGTGACCAGATATCTGGAAAAACATAAGTAAAAGTTCGGCTCAAATTAAACAGTGCTTTCTGGAATGTTTATTCCACCTTAATATTAGTCTTGCATATAGCTGTAACAATTTGTATTCCAAATCAGATCATTTATGTATTAAGTTCAGAATTCAACATTAGCCAGAGGTATTAACAATCAATTTGTCCATGTCAATGCTCGAAAAGATTTAAAAATGGTACCTACCACAAAACTAAGGGGGACTGAAACACTACCTCTTCATTCGCAAGAACTCGCACTTTGTGGCAGACATTGAAATTAGCCCACTTAAGTTGTGCTTGGAAGTCCAATCCTTGGATGTATTACAACTCTTGGATGCCAGGGGTCGTTCAAAGTAATCAGTTTCCATGAAGGAAAGGCATCGAGGCATCACAATGTCCATATTAGCAGTCATAAACTGCATTACCAGAAACATAAATAGAACAAATCAGCCCTACTACATTGAACAGTTTGGACAAACTAGACGGAAAAAAAACATTCATACCGATGATGGCACCTACTTCACTTCACAAGTCAATTGCTAATAGTAACCACCCATTGCATCAGAAAAGAACCATATGGATTAAATTATACATTTCGTCAGTAAAGAAAAGTTCCGCCCTTCCAAAACTGAATTTCAACCACTGGCCCTCCTCTGCCTATCAAAATTACCACTGCAATAATAAGAAATAGAAAAAAGAAATTGAACCCAAATAAATCGAAGTAGTTTTTCAATGATCAGTGGAGAAGGAATTCAGGTAAGCAGAATCCGTGAGTAGTTGAAGGTATACACCGAAATGTACCATTAGTTAAGCAAAAACCAAGAAACATTTTACAGATTTAAGCATATAATTTCGCCTACCTTGCTGTAAATCGGAAATGGTAGATTTTCGCCTTTTTGCGTGGTTTTTGGACAGGAAGAGATCAGTACTTAGAGGCAACTGGGAAGGGGAAGAACAGGGCCATCCGATGGTGATGGTGAAATTGCTACTGGGCTTTCAAGTTTTTGGTTAATTTTCTTCCTCTATTGATATCATTTTCAGTCCTCAATATTTATGACTATTAAATTTTGTCTTCAAAAGTTTAAGTAATCATATCTAAGCCTCAAATAATCAAATTCAAATTATCTCTACTACTTTTGGTCCAACTATGAGTTGTTTGTTGCAATTAAGTGATTCTTCGTGAATATTTTACTACTACATTTGAATCCCAAATTTTGAATAATTTAAAACTTTAGATATCAATTTAATACCCTACTCTGTAATACATTATAATAACAACAATAATAAATAACTCATTTTGATCAGCATTCTCCACCTGCATCCTGACTATCAGTATCAATATTATTATCAATATTATCAGTATAATATTATATTATATTATCATTATTATACTTATTAGCATTATCAATATCCTTGCCACTTATCATTATTAACATTTTTCATAGTGTTATTGTCACTATTGAAATTATCATAGTTGTCACTACCGACAACTATGGCTACTATTGTTATCAATCTTACATGACAACTATTATTATTCTAACTATAGTCGATATCTCTTATATGTTTACACTAAATCTCTTTGCGTATAATGAATCAATAACTTGATAAAATATTTTATTGTACTGTTTTAATTCAATGAAATAGACTATTTTCTTGAGAAAACGGGAGATTTTTTCATCTTTTTGCAATTTATAAACAAAATGGTCCTTAGTGTCCATTTCTAAAATTTTAATGGCCCTCTACAAACATAAAATTTAATCCCCAACAATTCTTTTCCATTTCCAATTAATTAATTTATCGATGAAACATTTCGGAGAATAAGATCTTTCTATTAAGATGGGTAGATTTTTCAAGATAAAAAAACAATAATAAAAAATATAAAAAAAATATTTTTAATAATTCTTTCACATATAACTTCTTTTCTAGTTTCTATATTTGAATATGATTTAATAATCAGTTTAGCTTCTTCTTCTTCTTTTTTTTTATTTTTTTTAAAGAATAATCGTTTAATGTGACATATAAATGTTACATTGTCCCTAAAAAATGCTCTTAGAATGCGTTACATATTATTCAATGTGAAGTTTTTTTCTTGTTTAATTAGTCATGTCCAGTTAGTTTTGAATCTAGGATTTATACTAAACTAGAGTATACTTCCTCGTTATCCTTTATTGACAACATCACAACGATAGAAAGATGTAATAGTTTGGACATACCATATGAGTTTGCGTTGTAATCACATTCTGCCAATTGATACTTTGGCATCGACTAACCTAATAATTCACTTTAATGATTGCAAAACACTAAGGATTTAGAGGACCAAAATTGCAATTTTTGCCGAATTCTCTTCTCTTTCAAGTTTATGAAGACAAAACCCAAAAGACTGCAACCGGACTCACCAACTCATTTGTCCATTGGTCACTGGAGAAAAGGGGAGCAAGGGAGGAAGAACAAATGGGGATTATTAGCATCCAAATACTGTTGCTTAACCTCTTATTCTTCATTCCTTCGCATTGTTATGCTTCTCAAAATCCAATTGAAACCCACAATTCCAATAACGATGTTACAGAGATTTCCAAAGGGGAGTTGATTGAAGTGCAGAATGGACCAGAGGACGTGGTTTGGGTGGTGCAATTCTCTGATCTTCACTTCAGCGTTCACCATCCCGAAAGAGCCCAGGATTTTAAATCAATTGCTGGGCTTACCCTTTCCATGATTAACCCTTCTCTAGTCCTTATTACTGGTGATCTCACTGGTAAAACTTCCTCCTTTTCGATTTCCAGCAAATGTTTCGTTTTGAGCTTTGGTTTAAAATGGTTTCTCAATTGTATTTGTTGGAATGATGATTTCTAAGCTTCTATGGCTGCATTTGCGTTTTGGCAGATGGGAAAAGCAAAGACTTACTAACGATGAAGCAAGACAGAGAAGAGTGGATCGAATACCAGGAAGTCATGGAAGATGTTGTTAAGAGAAGTGGGCTTAACAAGAGCATCTTTTATGATCTTAGAGGAAACCACGATAATTTTGGTGTACCATCCTCTGGTAGCTCTTCAGATTTCTTCTCTATTCACAGCTTAAATGGGCAATTGAGGAGGAGAGGACTAGTTAACTCTATTGTTATTCAGGTAGCATTTCTGTTCTTTTCTCTATAATTTGGCTTGCTGTAGCTTCTATGGAATCTTTTCTTTTGGGTCATTTGGGTCATTTTTCTAGCAGGTTATGGCTTGTATGTACAGCTCCTGATGCTCCGAATTCTTGGAAAAAATGTGATTGGAGACATCTTATTTTATAGTAGTCTTATCACCCTTTTAGAGTGTTGCTAAGTTGTGAAGTGCAAGAAAGTTCAAAAGAAACCCTTAATTTCATATGGAGGATGCTTATTTTGAAGATTTGGAAGAACTTTTAAAAAATGGAATTAATACACGAATGCAGTAATGGTTTTTTTTATTAATTAGTATAACCATATGACCCCCAAGAAATGTAATTCCGTATAGTATTACTGTTGAATATAGTACCAGATTTCAAAAACTGCAATTCCATATAGTATCACCGCTGAATATAGTATCACGGCTGAATATGTTCCCCAAGATATGCAATTCCATATAGGATCACAATTCAAAAAAAAAAGTGATTTATCCCTTTCCTCTACTTTTCTTTTCAATGTTTTGCTAAATATATGCTCAAAGGTATTCAACAACAAATATGGACTAGTACCATGGGCACTTTGATGGCAAAGGAGGCGAAAAGGTGTTCCATGTTATTGTCAAGCGGAATACAAAGTTTTGCTGTAGCTAGTCTTAATGTTGGGTTGATTATTCGTTGTTAGGTATAACATGCCTGCAATATGCTACTAGGTATGCCTTTCATTGCATGATCATAACTTCCACTATGTTTCCATGATCCAGACTGGTAAAAGAAAGCTTCTTTTTGTTGGGTTTGACAGCACGTCATATCCAGGATTGCGAGGCCCAACCAATTTATTTGGCCATCCAACTGATCAGTTGCTTAGCCAACTAAGTTCTGCACTCTCAGAGTGGGATTCTGAATCTGCAGAACCAATAAAAAAAATTGCCTTTGGCCATTTCCCACTTTCTTTTTCGGCAGCCTCACCATCTGGAACGACTTTGGAGGATGTATTTATAGAGCACGGCTTGTCAGCTTACCTATGTGGCCATTTGCATACAAGATTCGGCAAGAATTTAAAGCGTCATCATCAATCTGGCCATCGCCAGTCGTATTTCAATAATTTGATCCAGTTTGATGCGAATAGGCCTTCTAACTTAAAAGGTTGTTCAAATCAAGTTGAAAGTGAGCAGCAATTCTGGGAAATGGAAATGGGAGATTGGAGAAAGAGTAGATCCATGCGCATTTTGGCCATTGATAGAGGCCATATTTCGTTTACTGATATTGACTTTAAGTTGGGGGCAAATAAGCCTATTATATTACCGACATTTCCCTTAGATTCGCGCTTTACAGAAACATCATATCACATGCACAAATGTAAGTCGATGAACCCTTTGTTTTATGAGACTATCCGAGCTTTGGTCTTTTCTGCATCCCCAGTCATGTCTGTTGTTGCTGGAATTTATGACTCAAGATCTGGAAATCTTGTTTTGGTCTGGGAATCATCTCTAGAAAAGGTTGAGAGTACCTCCTCTAGGGGAGATTTATATTCTGCTCCCTGGAATTATGTAGTATTTGAAGATACTTCTCCTGAAAGATATTGGCTACAAATAGAGGCAACTGACAGCATAGGAAGATCAACTTTGAGTGAACTGCGACCATTCTCGGTTAATGGTCTTCCTGCAAAACTTTCCTGGAGATGGAAAGAGTTTGTAGTAATGGGTTGTCAATGGTCTGCCCTGTACTATCCAATATTCTGGTCCTTGTATTTTGTTTTTTTCTTGATTGTTCTTGCTCCGAAAGTTCTACTTTCTTTTTCTGTGAAGAGGTACACTTTTAAGCATTATAGTTCAAGAAAAGGAATCAAAAACTTTTTAGCTTGGACTTTTACGGAGCTATATAACGTTCCATTTGCATGGGGCTGCTTGGTCTGCTACTTGTTTTATCTCATATTGGCCCCTTGGTTTTTCGGCAGAGTTTTTACTGATGACACCATATGGGGATACATGACATACAGAGGCTGGGTCTTGGGACCCAATGAGCTGGGAAAATTGGATTTCCTTGGATTTCCAGATGTGATGGTGGTTGTAATTCCCCATCTAGTTCTTGTAATCTTGCCTGCATCTTTGGCCATTATGGCATTTGCTGCTGAAAGGGGACTGCGTCGTGATTATCTTCTTTCGATCACAGGGAAGAAAGAAGATGATAATCAATCTGAAAGCCACGCCATGAATAGTAGATTAAAGTTCCTTCTTCTGAAACGGTGGATTAGAAAAGTACTCCTGGTGATCACTTTGGCTATCTGGTGGAAACATTTTAAGGCAAGTTTCTTTCAATCAACTGTTTATTTTTCTGTGCTGAATACTTTCCAGAAGTTAAATGGAGTCGAACAGAAACTTTAACCCAATGTGAATGTGTTTTTTCCTTATTCTTTGTCTCTTTGATGCTCAATGCAAACTGTGTCTAAAAATCCTCGCCAATAATGATAAGATTTACATGTTAATTTATGTATTCATATTTCTTACATGACCCTTTAATGATAGGATTCATTTTGAAGTTAGTTTATGCTGGACTCCTGGCTTAGATCAATGTTTTACCTCATTTATGTTGAAACCATATAATTAGTACAGAACCGGCCATCCGAGGATGATGAAAACTGAAGGTTGTTTTTCACCAAATGATTCAATTTTGGAATTAATTCCAAAGGCGTCTATACTATTTGGACTTTGGTAATCCATCAATAGTTCAGCGGTTAGCATTGTTTACAATTCAATATTATTTGCCCTTGATTCAATGGAATGTTCTAAGGCGCTTATAATCCGCTTTTCATTTTTACTCTGCACTTAGAAACTTATTAATGTACCCTGTAATTCCCTCATAGTGATGCATCTCCAATCTATGGCTTCCCCCTCTACTAAGTCTATACTCATATTCCGCTCTTATGTTGTTTATCTCGTGCAGAACTGTAGAGCTCTTGTCAAAGCATATGAGATGAATCCGTTTATTCATTTCCCCATTTATAGCCTCACTATTCCTCTGCTGATGGCTTATACTGTGTACATTACTGGAAGGACTTGAGTAGCAGCATCGAGAAGTAAGCCTTTGTGTTAACAATGTAGTTTTGCAGCAACTGCTAATGTACATGATTCTGACATCAAAGGTACAGCTTTGCTCAGGGCTTTTGTTTCGGATGGCAGATTGGTGGCATGTAGTCATGTAAACTACTTGAAAAAAGGAAGTCCCTTTCATCATGGTCGTCAGTTACTACGCCTTTTAGTACCTGGTGATTTCCCACTGGAAGGTGCAGGATTCCAAATGTCAACGGCTCGTGATTTACTTGTGGTCCTCCCCATATGAAAGAAATGTGGTTGCTCCGAAGAGAGTTGGACAAGGGCGTAATGAATACATCAAGAATGTTATTATTCAGTGGTGAATGATCTCAGAAGATTCACAATCAGATAGTATCAAAGAGGCTTCGTGAGTTTACATTTATGGCTTTTGCTGTGAGCAAAGACTAATATATACACACTGATATTATCATAACCGAAAAATAGGTGTAGATGAACAGAGAAAACTGTAATTATTCTTCACTACAACTGAATATGATTGGCCTGAGATCTTTTAAGATATGTGTTGAATTTTATCCCGCTGTTTTTTTTTTTTTTTTTTTTTGTGCTGAAGAAGCATATTGTGCTACCTTTAAGTTACAATTCTTCTAGAGTACGCAACTCCTATAATGTCGTGGTTAAACCACCAAAATAAATCTGGTGGCGGCGAATCCCGCTGATCTTTGAGAATTTGCGATTGAGAAGAGACCGAAGGTCTAACTCGATTGCTCCGACAGACCCTTAATTCGGGATTCAAGTGAGAATTAGTCCGGCATGCTTTTAAGGTAAATATATGGTTTTTTCAGTATCAGACAAAAGAAAACTTGGAAATTGTAAAATCGGATGCGAGAGTTGTGCAGAAACAAGTGTACCAAGTGTCTTCATGGTTGTGATCGATGTCTTCGTCATGGACTAAATCTAAACAACATGGGTAACACAATTTGTGAACAAACTTGGACACACAATAAAAATTACTTGGTGGAATTAAAAATGTTTAAATGCAATTTCATTTCATTTCAGCAACACCTCACATGAGCATCCCGCTGTGGGTTTCCTACCACATATAAAAAAAAATGAAAAGAAAATATCAAGTCAAACACTGACAATCATGGCAATTGGCAATCTTCTGGGTCGCGTCTGTCATTCTCCATTAAAGTCAGAAGTATTTTAATGCAAAATATGACTTTTATGTTTCAATAAGATATATAAAATTATACTAACTTAAAAGGTTTGAAACCCAAAGTGAGCAAGAACCAATTGCAAAAGTTATTTGTTCATTTGTCTCAAAATAATTATGTTATACCATAATAAGTAAATTATCATTTTGAGACCGAAGTTGTGTGATTAGTATGATTATTATTATTATTGAAGGCCCATTTTGACATAGTAGTTATCAGTAATAAGTCCTTGTAAAAAACAATATAATGTGTAAATTGTAATAATAATAATAATAATAACAAGTCATTCGTAATTAAATATGCCCATGGGCCAACCTTTTCTTCCTCTTCATTTAAAACTTTTGTTCATTCATTAGAATGGGAACACCTACAATTACAACATTAGCAAAGGTAGCCTATGCCTATCATTTTCTCATTTCTCTATCCACTTTTTTTTTTTTTACCCAAACGATAATCAAATTTTATACAGTATATAAAAAAACAGATAAAAATATACAAAGTATACAAGAGTTGTATCAAAAACAGCTAAATTTAGTCATGACAGAAGAATAACATACTCTATTCCCATGAACGATTCTAGATCTAACCAACTTCACTAATTAAATAAGAAAACAACTAATAATCTAATTATAAGATGAACCATTAAAATACAAAGATATTGATGGGTTTATTAGTTGTTTTAGTAACTAAAGTCGTTTAAAGAAATGAAATTGTTTCAGAAATTTTTGCGGGCGAAAACGCGGATAGCCAGCCACCAATGGATCGACATCAATCAAGTTTTTGAGCGCCGTCACCTCCGCCGATGACGGCAGAAGACCGACATCAATTGTCGAAATCATCATCAAATCCGAGCCGGCGCGTCATCGTTGATCAGCCGCCCCCAAATCCCAAAAAGCATGGTCCATGCGCGTGAACGTGTCGTAATATTGAAACGGTAATCACCGACTTAATAATGATCAGTGATCCTATTGGAATTTATTTGTGCGCACTGGCAAATTATTCCTCATTCAAAACAACATAACTCCTAAAACTATTCCCAATAGTGTCTTCTTCTCACGGAAAAAGTCGCATACCTTTGCATTTTGCAAACAATTTGGTTTTGTTCACGTGTTTTGAACATGTTTTAGTCGAAATTTCCTATCCTGATATTTTACCGCAGTTGCCTTCTTTATTATATACTTAAAAAATTACTACATCTCTCACAACAAAACAGTCTACATTACGTTTTGAGTTTTGAGTTTTGTATTAAAAACAGTATACATATGAAAACTCACTGTAAACTTTTTTGTATTAGGACAAAGATAGTATTTTGTTGGTGTTCTCCATTGGCGGAGCTAGGCATTTTAAACGGGACGAGCGAAATGACATTTTTATTTTTTTAAAATTTTAAACTAAACAATCAAAATCTTCCTTAATTATTAAAAAAAATGAGAGAGGGGACAACCGCCGTTACTCTTACTGTATCCGCCACTGTTTGTGTATACTCGACGTCAAACGAAAATAGTACTTAACATTATTGGTCGAAAAATTTATTAGAGTTACATGTTAAAGTAAATATATAATATAGAAAAACGTATTTTCTGTTCAAAATTATTGACGTGTTTATTGTACCAAAGAACAGAAAGAGTAATGTGATAAATCATTTAGACACGTGGGTTTGTGGTGTAAATAGCACGTGTGTGCGGCTTTCAAACGGAAAACGGGGGGGACTCAGCGATCCGTTGAAAGAAAGGGCTGGTGAGGCTTCTGGGTTACAATTTCTGCTAACTCTCAATTTTATTTTATTTTTTTGGTTGAATTATTAGAAAGGCATGAGGAGATCGAGCAGGACTTTTAAAAGGACTCTCCTTGAATTGCGTACACACCCACATGCCCACCTTTGACTTAGTCTCTTTTATGTTTTAAGTTTTCATTTAACACACTTTCCCCTCTTTTTTTTTTTCTTTTGAAAATATTTTCACTCGATCTTTACACGAATTTTATGCGTATACTATAAGGCGAGACTAGAGTATTCTTTCGAAATTAATTAGGAGGATAGCCCGAAATGATCTCACATAAGTGTTTAGAGTTGGATTTTTTAAGTGAAATACTCCCTCCGTCCCATAATTATTGTCCACTTTGCCCAAAAAATTTTGTCCCAAAATTATTGTCCAATTTGACTTTTTATGGATCAAGTTACACATTTGTCCTTAGTAAAAAACATTATCCATAAAATCTTAGTGGTTAAACAATTACTTATGTAGGGGTATATCCGGTTGTTTAAGGTAAAATATAGTTAAGTTTGACCAAAAATAAAATCTTTCATTTTAGTAAAATTGGACAATAATTATGGAACGGAGGGAGTATCAAAATGTAGACCTAAGCGTTCCGAAAGAACGAGCTCGAAATGGAGGGTATGTAGCTCCATATGGGGATGGGTGCAATTTGTAGGCGTATGTAAACGCGTTCTTCAACTAGATAGCCTGCATCATCCGACCGGTAGAAATCGTGTTTTTTTAATTTTGGAGTTCTTTGTGTGTGTGTGTTGCAGAATGGAATGATTCCCCTTAAGTTTTTTCAACTCCAAGTCTCTCAAAAGTTCTTATTTTCACACTTTCTTGATCAGGTTTTTCTTAATATGTGTGTCGTTCAGCATGTCAGAATTAACCTTCTTCTGCAAATTAATTTATTAATATTGTTATCATACTGTGAGTTTGAAAAAAGGTAAAAAACAACATATACTTAGGAAAATTTGGAATTTCCATCGTCAACTTATAATTCAGAAAGGAGGGAATATTATATATACACTACACAACTACGGTCTACTTAATACCATTTCACACAATTCACACATCTCTACGGAATCATATGACCACATTTAACATTATTCAGTGTCAATAACACAAACAAAGTCAATATTTTAAACGATTGCTCAAATTTTGTGTTAGATTTATTTAGCGCACACTTATTAAGATTATATCCATTATTTCATTTCATTTCATTTTACTATTACAACCAGTAATTTTTGGAACATATATAAACCACGGTTCATTAGCTTGAAAAATATTCATTCATTTTGTTCATGGACACGACATGGTTAAAAAAAAAAAAAAGCATGCAAAACATCACCTACGTACTTAATTGATCATAATCATCTTTTTTAAAACAATAAAAATAAAATTGTTTCCTCATTTTCATATGATCTATTTTTTTTATATGGAGAACTAGCTACACATTAGACTTATTGATGGATAGGTTGAAATTGTTCTGGAGGTAATTTAATTACTTAATAATCAATTAATTTTCGGTAGAGGATGATCAGTTAAAAAAGAAACAAATTAAACTCATAAAGTCGGTGGTCAACATCAAACTGTTGACATGTGATTAGCAGCATATTAGTGTAAAAGTCAAAATCTGATGTTCTCCAACAGGCTGAATGCAGTAAAACAGTATACAGAATCCACATCTTGTTTGATAATTAATTTTAGAGGAAATCTTCCATACAGCTCTTGTACATATACAGCCAAACACATAAATAAAGTAAAATTGTAATTTTAACGAAAAAATTACCACAAAATTAAGGAGGTCATAATATTTTACCGTATAATGCATGTATTGTTGCAATAAAAATGAGATACACTTTAATAATTTTTCTTAATTCTATGTTCTTTCGGAAGCAGTTTGGAGATGCGGCTTTTGGAATTTGGACCATAGAAATTTAAAGAAAGAGACAAAAAGAAAATATTCAATATTTAAGAAAAATTAAACGAGCAGATAAAAAATCTATATCGTGCGAATCCACTTTTGCAATTTCTTGATGCTTCTCCCGTTTTTCCATCGAACTTTAATAATTCTTTGATATAGTATTCTTCTCCTCTCTCTCAAACCCAAAAAAAAAATTTCTCCAATTCTCCCCCATCTTTTCACTATGGAAGGATGGGGGAAATAATTTTTTCTTTAGTTTTATTATATTTTTGTTCCTCTTTCTGTTTTAATAAAGGAGATTAAGTCCGAAAAGTTTCTTTAATATATTAATTAAATGACCTATTGAGAAGGTATGATACTTTTGATTATAGTGTTCTCTAGTAGGTTGAATTTACTGGTTAAGGGTAGGTTATGCCGTTTTCAGTGTTCGTGATGTCGTTGGTGATACTCGCGAACTCGTTGTTCATTCTTTAACAAGAATTAGTCCTTATAATTTATTTATTAGATTTGTAATTTGGAGTTTTCATATGATAATTAGTGATATATCCTTAACTGGATCAGAATATCGATACGTAATATATCCAGTTTTATTTTGGATAGATCTGTGTAGATTTATTCATTGTAAACACAACAAAATATGATAATAATAATTTGTTGTAAGTTGTGTTTTAGACTATTTCTTAGTATTATCAAACGTATGTGGATGATTTCCAACACATTAATGAAATTTTTCTTCTAAAAAAAAGGGTAAATAATTAACACAAAACGATTTAAACATTTTTTAAGTGTAATAATCTACTCGATTTTCCTTCGTTTTTCGGTTGCAGTTCGGTCAATTACAGTTTCTTCAAGGCAAAGTATGAAGATTCTTCTTATCGCCTCTCTTTTCCTTTTGCCATTATCCCTGCAAAATTCCTTCTAGATAAGCTCAAAACCTTTCAGTAATCAATAATTCTTCTTTCGTGTATTAAAAATAAAAATTAGATAATTATTTTCGAACAAGAGAGTATTAATTCAAATTTTTTTTTAAAAAATAGTAATAAATTAAGCTCGTGAATGAATAGGGAAAGTTTAAAAAGTTGTAAAGTGCGTAACATAATTTTTGAAACATTAGGTCAAAGACGTGGTCTACAATCGTGTGGCATTTCAGTGTTGTTTTTATGCCTGTATATTTTCTAAGTTTTTTAGTTTAGTCCAACTTCACTTTAATTATGTTGTAGAAAATAAAGTTAACCACGGTCCATTAGAGTTTAGACAGGTAAAAAAAAAAACAGTACAAATTGAATGATAATCATGACGAGAAAAAAATGGATTACTAATTATTAGCATGAGATAGAGATAAAAATTATCTGAGGACATTTTTATCCATTTCGATAAATTTAAAAAGTAATTTTCAGAAAGAAATATAATCTGTGGCGTTAGATAACTATTTTCTTCGTGAAAAAGTTTCACATCTGTTTTTGGAGTTACTTTAATGCTATTCCTTATATGTTTTTAAAGGAAATAAATTGAGAACTCACAAAAAAAAAAAAAAAGATGACAAACTTGTTCCTTATCAAGCAAAATTTCGAATTCTTACATCTCAGGAAACCATTTTCAAAAAAAAAAAAAAAGATAAATAAAAATCTCAGGAAACAAACAAAAGAACGAAAAGATGGAATTAATCATCCCTATGGGTTATCCAAAAAAATAAAAAATAAAAAAATCCCTATGGTGTGATCAATATCTATTTGTATTTTTCCAAATCTATTTAATTGAACTCGAAAAAGAAAAGAAATCAGAAAAAGCCTGCGTCTCAATCTATTTTCCCCCTTTCTTATTCATCAAAGATTTTTAGAAAATTGCTTTGTTAATTTATATACGAGCCTCTCGACTGTTAGGTCGTGCTCATGACATTGTGGGTCTTTTCTATCCATATTAAATCTCAATTTAATATTTTATATAACATAGGATAAAGAAAATAGCTAGCCTCTGTTATTCTCCTTTCTTATTTATTTAATAATCTCTCCCAGGAGCCACGAGAGCTTATTTATGAAGATAGTTCTTTGGTAATTTAATTTTGAAAATTTAATACATATAAATCTATTCAAAATAGAGTAGATCTTTCTGAAGACTTTTCATTAGAAGATTATGAAATTAGTTGCTTTGAAAATTCATTTTGTATTGGTCCAAAAGACAGCTATTCTTAGCTCACATAGTTTAAATTTTCCAAATATTCACCAGTAATATCTCTGTATCACATCGCAATTAATGTAACAACTCTATGATACACCAAATTTTGCAGATCAAGTTTTCTATCTTCGTTTATATATTAAATTTACATATCTGACGTTTAAAACTGTATCTTTAACTGATTCAAACTGGAGCAGAGTTAACCATGAATAAAACTAACAAATATGACCATTTCAAAACTATTAATAGATCAATTATTCTACCTATAAAAAAAAAAAAAAAAACACAACACCAACGCAAAGTCGCAATCCATCATTACAAGAAAGCATCTCCAAAAATAAGTCAATAGAAAAGTATATAGAGAGAAGAGTAGAGTAGTAGATGAAGTGATGAAGCAACTCCAAAATGTATCCAATAAAGAAAAGCCAAGCAAGGCAAGGCAAGCAAATGGCCGTAGCAAATTGCAACACCAAAACGCTAAATAACCAAATCAAATTTGTCCAACCGCGTTATGGTCACAGACTAACAACACACCTTTGTATATTTAGTCCAATATTATACACCTACCTTTTATTTCTGTTTTCTTTTTCTTCTATTCTTTTTTTCAGTTGTTCTGTGTGAGACTTAAAATGTGTTTTGAACGGTTACATATTGAAATTTGAGTAATTCCTATTCAATTTAAGTTGATCGCTGACCTTGGTAATATCTTAACAATTATACAATGATAGTGTAATACAATAAAAATAACAAAATCATGTTTATTCTTTGAAATGATGCAATGATTTATTCTGTATACACAAAATACAGAATAATTGATTATATTTTCCTATCCATTTCATGGTCCCCTGCATTCAATCCTCTCTCTCTTTTTTTTTTGGGGGGTTGATTTTGAATTTACTTTTTTGCTTTCCATTTTTTTTCCCTTAAAATCTCATCGATCCGACAATTTAATATAACATCGGATATGAATAATTCTAAATCCATCCCCTCGAAACTTCCTCATGTCCCAAAACCGCGTTCACACCATTCACAGTTATTTTTTACCTTTAAAAAAAAAAAAAAACAATTTTGGCAAGTGATCATTTTACCTTAAACCCAGTCACTTTTCTTCCCCAATCAAATCAGACCATATTTTTAAAAGTATTATTATTACATCTGTCGCTTGTTCTTAGGAAAACCCATCAACGACTTTCAGTATCAAAGTTTGAAACCCGCTTACTTTTTCAGTTCGTGTTCACATTTCCATTCACACATTCCGTCAAACAGGTGATGTGCGAGTTTGGTGAGTTGGGGCTTTTTTTTTGTTTTGTATTCTCTCTGTATTTGAGGAAGGATTGTGTCTCCACCGGGGAAGGAAACTTGTGGTTCTATTTTTCTTTTTTTTTTTTTTGGTTCCCCTGTTCTTTGTGGGTTATATATACTCAATTTCCTTTTAGAGGAAGGGGAAAAAAAAACGGTAATCGACCTAGCAAATGAATGATAATAAGAGGAAGCGCAGGAAGAAGGATAGTTCAAGCGTGCCAGAGTTTGAAGATGCTAATGGTGAGAACAATCAATTCCAAGAGCAGAAACCTGGTGGGGTCAAGACTAAGGATTTGAAGGAGATTATAACTTCCTTGATATTGCTTGAGGAGCAAGAAAAGAAGGATCAGGACGAATTCGCCAAGGAAGAAGAGCAAGAGAAGCTCTTTTTTGAATCCAATCACCAGAAGAAAGAAAGGGCCATGTTGGATTATTACTCTCAGTTGCAGGATTATCACAGAGAAGCAGATCTTAAAGAAGGGATCAGGAAGAGGAAGGGGAGGGCTAATACTGCTGCTGCAGCTGCCACAACCCTTGCCGCTGCTGTTGTTGATGCGGCAGAACACGATGCCGGTTCAGGGAATAGCGGTGGAGGCGAACAGGGAGATAAGGGCGCTAAAGGGGCGCCACAGAGGCGTTTGTGGGTGAAGGATAGATCAAAGGCGTGGTGGGATCAATGCAACAGTGCTGAATTTCCTGAAGAAGAGTTCAAGAAGGCGTTTCGAATGGGGAAGGACACGTTTGAAATGATTTGCAATGAATTGACGTCGGTGGTGGCGAAGGAGAACACTATGCTGAGGGATGCTGTCCCGGTAAGGCAGCGAGTTGCTGTTTGTATCTGGAGATTGGCCACTGGGGAGCCACTTAGGCTTGTTTCAAAGAGGTTTGGATTGGGGATATCAACATGTCATAAGCTGGTGCTTGAGGTTTGCTCTGCTATTAGGACAGTTTTGATGCCTAGGTATCTTCAATGGCCGGATGAGGAGTCAGCCAGGAGGATTCAGGATGAGTATGAATCCTTATCAGGCATTCCTAATGTTGTTGGATCAATGTATACTACTCATATACCGATAATTGCGCCCAAGATTAGTGTTGCTGCGTATTTTAACAAGAGGCACACTGAGAGGAATCAAAAGACTTCGTATTCAATTACTGTGCAGGGTGTTGTTAATCCGAAAGGGGTGTTCACAGATGTATGCATTGGCTGGCCAGGTTCAATGCCTGATGATCAAGTTCTGGAGAAATCCGCTCTTTTCCAGAGGGCTAATCAAGGGCTGCTCAATGGTGTTTGGATTGGTGGAGGTTCTGGATACCCTTTGATGGATTGGGTATTGGTGCCTTACACACAGCAGCATTTGACTTGGACTCAGCATGCGTTCAATGAGAAAATCGGGGATGTTCAAAGGATATCGAAAGATGCATTCGCAAGATTGAAAGGAAGATGGTCTTGTTTGCAGAAAAGGACAGAAGTGAAACTTCAGGATTTGCCAGTAGTGCTGGGTGCGTGCTGTGTTCTGCATAATATTTGTGAAATTAGGAATGAGGAAATGGATCCAGAACTCAAGTTCGATCTCTATGATGATGAAATGATCCCCGAGATGCCGTTGAGGTCAGTGAACGCGATGAAAGCAAGGGATGCTATTGCCCACAATCTTCTCCACCATAATCATGCAGGCACCTCTTTCCTTTCATAGAAGGAAACTGAATTCTGCTTTACCTTTTGTCAAATTGGAGTTTATTCTTTTTGTACGCTTATCTCATTTAACATTTGTTGCTATACAATGGAAACTGATTAGTTCAAGAAGCTGAAGTAGGTGTATTTTTTTATTGCCAATTGGAAGTTGTTTTCTTTCTAGGCTGAAGCTGTACACACAACTCATATCATAGATTTCAGGTTACAAACTCAGTTTCTTTTCTCACCATCCAGTTACCTCCAATCGATTAAGTTTACTCTTTACACAAGATTGTTCTTTCAGAGCATCGCCCGCTTTTCTGGTTTTGCTGATGGTGGCATCGATGTGGGGTTAGTAACCCTGTTTAATTAGTGCAAGGTACATTATGTGTTTTTAATAGCTTCGATCCGGTGTATGTTAAACACACGTATTCGAGATTTCTGAGGGTGGTTCCTTACACATTTAGGCTCTTTTGGAGGCCAACTTCCTAAGGGAGAAAAGCAACAGTCGTTCAGACTTCAGAAATGGGAGAAGCCCATCAATGATGTGAGTATCAGAATTCGGTTAGAAAGACAGCCAGAAAGGGTCACAGTAAAATTCTCTCACTTGATTCATAATCTAACATACTGAAGAAAATGTGTATTTACAAACGGGAATTTTATAAATAAAGAAAGATTCAATAAATGTAATTCATCTTGATACAGGAGTTAACATGTTGCCAAATCCTTCACCCACCCATGATTAGAGAGAATAAGCCTAGCTTCTGTCTAATGGTGTTTCTAATAGATATGGTTCCATGGTCAAACTGAAACTCTTGCATCTTTGGCAGAAACTTCCAAGGGGTACAAGATACACAAAACCACATATATACAATTCAAATAGCCACTTCAACGCGTAGCATCCTTCCATCTTCCTTCTGTCCGCATTTGACCCAAAATGTGGCCAACCGGAAGACCAACATCCAACATCGTCTTCACTGTATCCGCAAGCTTCATCACGGCACCGGCCGGACGATCAGAAACCAGATTTTTCCACAGCAAAGACGCTGAAAGGGAGGTTAATGCCGTTGCTGGCACATTTGGCAAATGGTAGCAGACTTCACGTTACCAAATGTGCAGTACTCACATGACCAGTGACCTGAATCATCCATTCTAGAACTGCTTGACTTCGAAGCAGCTGCTTTGCCTCTGGTTCCTCTAGCCTTGCTGCTCCCTCCTCCCAAACTTTTTGAGCTAGCTGCTCTACTGCAGGCACCATGAGAGTCCACATCTGAAAGACCATTTTCCAAAGCACGGACCAAATTCTCAAAGTAGTTGCGTGTAACACTGCAGAGATTACATACATGTCAAAAAATGTGCATTTCCAAGCTAGTATTACAAGGCGAACAGATGAAATAATTGCAAAACATGAATGCAGGACACAATTGGTTCTACACAAAAAGAACAGAGGGAACAGAAGTAGGGGTCCGAACTCAGTAACTAACGCACAGATGATAGTGAATAAATCAATTTCTTTCCAAACAAAAAGCAGTATGCTACGGAATTTTCGGAGCCATGAGCCGCCAGCTGATCTCTGTAAAACATGGAACTTGCCAAAGAATGTAGAGTTTCTAAGCATACTCTCTGACCACATGACCTAGACCAAGCGGATCAGGATAGGGCGAGTGAACCAGCAGTTCTAAAAACAATTGAGCCAACTTTAAAAAATGCCTTAAAACATACTAAACATACACAAGAGCTCCACTTATTTAGATGCAGAAGAAGAATCTAAATTCTTATTTTCAAATTATATCTTGGAGACTTAGCATAAGTTTAGAGATTAAAGTTCAAACCTAGTGAGTCCAGCTAGTTTTGTACGGAATTCATTGAAATCTTTTGATGGGCCCTCAGCATTGAGGTAACCTTGTAGTTCCTTCTCAGCACATTGATGTAGTCTTTCCAGTCCCGACTCAGCTTCACCTAAAGCAGCCATAACAATGTCTCAGACAAGAAAAGCACGAATGGTTGAATAGCTAATTTTAAAATACCCAAAAAGGCAGACCTTGTAAGTATTCAAAGAACTGCCTCTTTGCCTGTTCATGCTCTGGTAAATAAAATCCATATGCGTATGTCCATTTTAACACCCGCCTGCATTCAACAATCTGCAACGATGCAAATGGAAAGTCCAAGAAAAATATCAACAGAAGTGAAACAGACAACAAGAACTCAGCCAAAGGAAAAAAGAATCATTACCTGTAGCCAGGCTTCTATAATAAACTTGAGCTGCGATTCCGGCTGACTCTGGATATCACTTAACTTTTCAAGCTGCAGAAGAGTAGATGATCAGTAATCCAAATGAAACTCATAACAGGGAGAAAGTAGCACAAAAGAGCATAAATCATCAAACTACCACACACACACAACTTCTAAGGAATCAAACTACCAAAAAGAACATAAATCAAAAGACTCACAAAAGAGAGAGAGAGGTCCACTTACATGAACGGCTTGCATTTGGCTGAGATCAGCAAGAGCTTTTTGCCTAGACTGCAGAAGGAACAAAATGAACTAGTCATAAAAAGCACCAAACAAAACCGGCCACCAGTTTCAAAAAGGGTGAATGGGAAACTTTAAGATCTTTTCCAACAAAAGGAAATAAGGTTCCAGAATCTTCTACAGGAAGAAATATGTTTTCATGAACAAAAAGGGATAGTTTGAGCTTGATGCATGTCATCACGTTGTCAAGTCATTTAAGATAGTTTGAGCTGCAATGAAGGAGCATATTCCCACAACTATAACTAAAGCTTTCTACAGACTATTTTTTTTCAGCGCCAACTTGATATGGTATGATACAACATAAATCAAAGATATTGTAGCAAGGCACAAAAAAAAAAGAAATGGGAATGCATTAGTTAAAGCTGAATAGAAGTTCCAGATCACGGACTATTCTTCCATTTTTTCTCTCGTTTTTTTTTTTTTTTTTTTGTTTACAAGTACTCATATCCATTTTTAACTCTATTAAAGTTTCTGATTCGGGGATCATCAGAAATCTCGAACTGTTAAAGCCAAGCATAAGTTGAAAGTCAACTGAAGATTTGGTATTTTGAGTTATGATATAAAGACATAGAAAACAATGTTGCATGGAACACTACTTTATCATACATTCTTCTCACAAAACTGAATAGGCTCCTGCTAAATCTGTAGCTGCCATTGAGTATAGAGTGGCAATTTCAGATCGGAACTGCTTCTACAGCATATCACAATTTGGATAATGTCTTCATGAAGAATGTAAGTTTGACTACCATCTCTATTGATACCAGAACAATCCATTTTATTCAAACAATATCGTGTACTTACCACACAAAAGCTCACTAAAAGGATCTATTTTCAGCAAAAGACATGCCAAAAGAAAAACAAGCAAGAAATGGTCCGAAGTCGAGTGAAAACAAGCAGCTATTCTAGTTTTAGCAACAGAGTTTGTGGATGACATAATTTATATATGCTAGTCAGACAGACCCAAAAAGTCGAGAACATGTACTCACCGATTGATTGGTGGCCCATCTTTCGTAGTAGTGAGTGTATCTTTCTAAAGAGTTCTTAGCCATCTCTCTTCGTTTTTCAGCTTCATCATACTGCAATTAACGCATCAAACAAAAACTGAAGGTCAAAAGCTAGCATAGGCAGACCCAAAGGACATGTTCAGCATAAATGAACCAAGATAAAAACCAGATTATCTTACAACTCCCTCTTGCTTGGCTGCCTCATAGCGATTGCATGCATAAAAGCCACCAGTTCTTTCACCGTGATCTGACCATGCACCCAAACAGAGCCTGCAAGGATGCTAATTGACGTTAAGAATGAATGGTATGGACTCCAGAAGAAACTTTCACTGAATCCAACTTCAGAACAAATCATCAAAACAAAGACAGCTAAAGTGCCAGTTCTTCTTTTCACTACCAGTTTCCTTTATGTGCCATGGAGGTTGTTGAGATATTGCAAAAGGAGGTTCCAAATGCACATATGTAACAGTAGCTTTTTGCATGCAGAATATGGTGTTAAAACTGGGGTTTAAAAGGAAAAAAATATACCAGCAAAACTCATATTTGCATGGTGGTGTGCATGTTATATGCATACACCCTTGATTCTTCTCTATTGGCCTTTTGCACTTAGGACAAGGCTTTGAATTAGCTAGTATCCTGGAAAATCATCATCACGGAAAACACTTAGTTTAGCACAAATGACAGCACAAGGGAAAAGTTTCAGAGCGGTCAGAGACAGAATTCTCATGTTTCTTTGGAAAAAAACAGAGCATGGACTTCGAACAATATGAACAGTTCATGCTGAAAAAATCATCATAGAGATATTTCCCTTTATGATTTTAGACCTCTTTGAGAACTTAAGAAAAGCACACCTTTTAAGGATATTCCATCCAAAAAAGACAACGCTCTGATTGTTTAAGAGCAATTGGAATTAGTTTAAAATTTTGTCAGAATATGGTTACCCATAAAACTTCCAACTCAGTTTCAAGTTTCTACTTTTTTCATATTAGTTTCTTATTTCCTTCAGGCATGTGCCTGATTCTCTGTAAGGCCAGAACTTATCTGTTGATGGGAATAATTCTTACATTTATAAAGGTGCACATTCCAGTTAGATCACTAATGATCAGCCACTAACCCTCCCCAAAACATCATCATCATATACACCCAAAAAAAATCAATGGTATTTCTTCCAACTTCACACAGTATCGGGAAAGCTTTCACAACTTTGCAAGGAGTACCTAGCCTTCAAATAGTGTTAATTTGATGCTTCTCCACCAATAAATATTCTCACTAGTTTTCCCAGCAAAACCGAGAATGAGTCGAGATGTAAAATAAAAAAACGAACTATTAAAAATCGCAGATGAACTTCTCAAAAATGTGATATGAAGTTCAATACCAGTTCATATTTTCAGACTCGGCACTATTTTTCAAAATCCATTTGGCTACAGTACCACAATCAACAGGTCGGTGGGCTTCCTCTGTACACTGCAACATCAGATTCAGTAGTGTTATTAAAAATTGAGGACAGTGAAAAATGGACAATTGAGATATATATATCTTATACATGGATGTTTATTAGAATGAAGGGTAATGCTTACATTCCAACAAAAGCTATAGGAACAGCGGCAATTCACATCATAGCTTCCGCTTCCAACGATGAAATCAACAGCGAATTCACACCCTGGTGCAGGACACCACTTTGTCTAGAGATGATACACACACACACACACAAAACAAAAGTTTAGGTTTCAATACAACTCAAATCTTCACAAGTTTCATTTATAAAAACATCAAGGAGTACTAAACTTAGTAGCTCATAATGACTAATCATTTTATGCCAAGGACAGGGGATGAACAACCATCTTGACACATTAGAATGAGTATCATTCAGAAATTTAAGTGAATCCTACAAGAGAATTCACATGTTTCCAAGTTAAAGCTCATGAGAGCTAAAATCATAGAGTACCGCATAAACTAAGACCCACAAGTAATGATGTCATATTTGTAGATCATTTAATGAATTCACATGATTTGCACAAGCAGACTTGATGAGTAAAACGGATTTAGCAGGGTTTGATCACTCAAATGCCAAGATTGCCTGACCCAATGACATCAAAAGGATGAACCAGATTAGAGGTCCCACTATCTGATTAGGAAACTGAATTCATCAAGATTCAGAGAGCTCGAAAACATGCAATTATCCAGATATCAGATTCCATTCTTTAGAGATTAAGTAATCCTGAACATCAAACGATGCACTTGTACAACTTCTAAATTCTAGCATACGAACAGTGAAAAAAAAAAATGTTCAAACTTGAAAATTTCTAAAAAAGGAAGAGAATAACATGTTCTTCACTCATTTATGAAGACACCGCCTGTATAAAAGACCAAAACTGAAAGCTGAAGGAAGGACATTCATGAAAATCTATTCGCTGTTTTAGTGAAAGGAAACTCAGTGGAAGTCGCGTAACTGTCATGTCCGCAATTAGATTGGGCCTGTTAGACAGAATTTGGGCTCAGTGTTTTCTTTTCAATATGCCGTAGGAGCGTGTAGGTCAAGTGAGAGCCATATAGTGTACAGAAAGTTTGAAAGATGAAGTGAAGTTGAAAAAAAAAATTAGCACTTTAGTTGAGCTATGGGAAATTGACAAATTGAAAATTTAGCAATCTAACCAATTCAGCATTTAGATTGAAATGAAACTGAAGGTTTACGCAATCAGCTAAAAAACTAATTCAGCATTTAGATTGAAATGAGACTGAAGGTTTACGCACTCAGCACTCAGCTAAAAAACTAAATCAGTGTTTCAGATTGAAGCCAGATTCACGAATTAATTTTCATCAAACAGACCCCAAATCGCTGTTACCTTCCGATTGTCTTCAATGAAGGATCTGAGGAAGTAACGTTTGTATTTATCTTTATCCTCCCTCAGAGCCAATGCATTTATCATATCTTGACCAACAGCAGCACAACAGGATGGATCAGGACAACGCAACATCAAGCATCCAGGACCATCATTTATTGACGAGCTCATGTATCCTAAGGAGAAAAGTATAAACAAAACAATAAATTAAAAAAATCAATGCAGTTCAGTGTTTATAATCCACTACCAGCAAAATATCTGCTACCAACTATTGAAGGGAAATATCCACCGGCAGTTGTTCATCTGTCTTGTTCTCTTTTCAACTTAAAGGTAAGTGGCAAATCAAATTCGATGTAATTTCTGGTGAACATAACGAACAGCTTTTTATTGACCACAAAATGTTTTGCATGCTCACAAACACATGAATTTTGTGCTCGTACGGTACAATAAATGCACGAGGAAAATCTGCGTCAATACATAGACAGATACCCTCTCACACAAGCTCATGCAGAAACAGTACGGGAAGCAACAAGAAGGAACCAGTATCCGACATCTAACATCTTCAGATATGAATTAAAGCTCCACAACCGGAAGCTACTGTCTCCTGCTTCACAGGCATAACGTAACCCTTTGGAATGCGAGTAATGTGGCACTAGTCAAATTGGATGCCCAAATCAATCTGGGAAGTTTCCATCATAATTTTGGACTAAAGTATTGTACCGCCTTTTAAAGTATGACAATCAGGTATGAATTCGACAGACTGCATTGCTTACATTTTAGTTTCATGAAACCTCAAGAGAGAGATAGAATATCATTCCTAACCTCATCTATAGGAACTATTGCCAATTTGGACCCTATTATCCTTCCCAAGCTAAACAAAATAAAGAAAATTTGTTTCTAAGTTGGTTTCTTCCGCGCAAGATGTCCTACCATTGACTAATTGTGCAAATCTATCTTCTTGGCAATGCCAATGCAAATATAATGAACCACATTCTACGGCAATCTTGAAAAACTTATACTGAAAGAGAATCAAAATATTGTTTGACACTGACATAAGACGGTGAAGAAGGCAAAACCAGGTATAACATGAAACTTAAAACGAAGGTGATGAGTCCAATGCCCCTGAAATCCACTAAAAACATAGCTAACATTAACCAACCTTGCCAACAAGTTACGCAAAAAGGATGACCACACGCAGCAGATCTCATCATGTCACAAGGATACATCTCAAAGCAGATTCCACATGTAACCTGCAACGATAGGAGAGCTGCAACTTTCAAGAACTTTGCAAGAAGATATTTATCACTCAGAAAGAGGACCTAGAAGCCACCCAAGAACTGCTACATACAAAATTTTCATCTAGTCCTAACAATTACTCCAAGAAAAGAAATCTCATTTCTAAACTTTTCCTTGTCCTGAAAGAAGTGTCCAGTTTCAACTTTGATACCCTTGCTATGTGCTCTTAACAAGTAGAATGGTAAGGTTCAGGTGGGGAAAGCGACGCAATATGTTGTGTACTCAGGCGTTGCACGTTAAACCTTATAGTATGTTGTACATTTTCACAGATGAATCCCTTAATTGTATTTAGATCTCACACAATGCATTATAGCAAAAGGACGCATGATAGACAAAATCGACAAACACCTCTTTTGCATCAGGAAGGGGGACAGGATATTCCAATAAGCCAACAACCCTGCGAACCTTCTCTTCATCAGCAAACCACTCATCATTTACTCTACTGACACACCTGAAAATGGACAAATAGTCAGGCTCCTTCAGATGGAAATATTAAGTGTTTAACCAGTAAAAGAACAAGGAAAGCATAAATTGGCACAAACCCATACTAAAGAAGGAAGGGACCGTATTTTGGTGTTCTTCTGATGTCTTTGTAGCATATCTTCCAATGCGTGCTAATTACCATAAAACAACTAAAGTTTAAAACTGTGCACTTAATATGCTAGTGACTCTTTCTGAGGATTTAGGTTGCTTTTCCTTCGGACTCATTCCACTTTTTACCCTCCAATTATTTTGTGACTCTGAGCAAAGAAAAGACTTCATTTCTGAAATTATGGGGTGGTGCTTTTTCTTTTTAACCTATGAAAAACGACCTAGTATTCCACGCCGAATCTAATACAATCTACTAAAGCATACATTGTTACTAGGAGAACTACTAAACCATGAAATAATGAGACACCAGTGGAATCACCTCGGTCGGCATTTACACTAATAGAAACAACAGAGCTTTGCTAATGAGACGAATCCCAAAAATTTTTGATTACCAAAGAAAAGAAAAGAAAAACCAATGAGCATCGATGGGAAATTCATCTGCATCAAGTAATCAAATAGCATCAACTGCACCTCTGGCTTATTCAAATAAACTAGCATACAAAAACCACAATGAGATAGCTCACCAGTTATAGTGACGGAGAAGGATACTAGCAGCAATCCTTGATATAGAAAGCACCATAGATACTTGTGTAATATATTCCTCCTGGCGCTGAAGTATGTCTGCTTCCCCCAGGACAGTATAGTTTAGCTGCAACAATTATGAAGTTTAAAATTCCCAAGTGAGAGTTCGCAACGTTCAATTGAAAGTTCTAGGACAGAAACTCAAAGACACATGAATAGTTCTTCAGAGTAAGCACAAACTGAAATCACAGATCAACAGAATGCATAACGAATTGAACTCCAAGCACTGAAGCACAACCAAGAAAGAAATATGCAGCTCATATATTGGCTACACCCAGCAATACCTATTGGAAAACAAGAACGATATTGAAATGCAAATACAAGCCATAAATACCCTTGATAACTACACTCAACTTCAATTCCCAAATTTCATTAATAACCAGATGCAGCAGTCACTAAGGGAAAAAAAAAAAAAACACAACTCTACAACGACGTTAGATAAGCAATGGGCCAAAATTACAATCACTAGATAAATAAACAGTTCCTTAAAAGCACTTGAAGAAGTTATTAAGCAAACTTCAGGATACACTTTATTGAGAGCTTTTACAAGCAAGATGCAATTGCTACGTATTCTGCACCTTCCATCAACTTGTAGTATGGCTGCTCAGGTGGCAACCAATGCTTCTCTATTACAAAATTTGTAATCTCCAAAATAAACAGCTACACGGTAGTCTCTGCATGGTCAAGTCTAAACCTTCCTTCCATTTCTTACACATAAAATTTAACACCACTAGAAGGAGAAAGGGTTCAACTTTTCCACCATCTCTATTTTTCGCTTTACTTTCATCAATTCAGCAGCTCCAAGAAAACTTCATCCCTTCTGATTTATATTAATAACCAATGATCTTGAAATGAAGATACCTTATCAGGACACTACATTGGTAAGACGGCAAAGATTGCACAAGCCAAACCACTGACATCAACCTCATAAGTATCCCATGATCTAAGCTCTAGCCAAAACTATCTGAACAAAAAATTGCAAACAAATTTTAGCTCCCAATTGTTGTATGTGTATATATGGCTACATCTTATCCATTCTGTTAACAAGCTATCAGGAGGGATGCCGTCAATTCTTTCATAGGCAAACAGAAACGAATGGATTACAGAACACTAGAAGCTAAATTTTTTTACAAAATTCGATGAAATGTAAGGAATGATATCGTGAAGGTTTTAGAAGAGTAACAGATGCAAGATGCTTTTCGAATAAATGATAATGCTCCTCCCAATCTCCATTCCCTTCTCTTATCAATTTATATCTTACCCAAAGAAAATTTCTTAGCAAGTTACCATATTAACTTGACTCAGCACAAAAAGTATCTTTGATAAAAGACGTCAGCAATTTAAAACTAAATAAATAAATTACCTTAACATTGAAGTCTAACTTTCCTAATATAGATGGCCTCAGTGAACTCCAACCCAAATTCTAATCAAGACCATATAATGTCATTTGGGGGTACCTATGCCAATTATCACAGTCCTTAAATAAACTATCAGTAGTCCATCATAAGTAGAACATATATCCCCAATAAGAATGAGACGCATGGCACTTTTCGATGGGAGATAGACCCGACCGTTATGCTATAGACCAACCAGAAATGGATAGTGTCTCGCTGAGCACCAGTTTACGCCTCCAAGTCAGAAGATACCAACAAAGAGAGATCCTGTCAGATGACCCTCTGAAATGATCCCCAGAGCAGAACATACAGACACAACAATTATGACAAACGGGATCGAATTGAGTTTTACTTCTACTTTCTAAGAAGTGCCCTTACCAAAAAGAACTAGTTACTTGACCATCGAAGCCCTGGGCCAAACCTAGGAATCTTCCTTACCACCGGTGAGTTACATAGGTAAACAACTCTCACATCAATTCTGCACAGAGATTGGAAGGTGGAGGGAAAAAAAAAACTACACCAAAACACTAGAGAAGTCTCTTTGCACAGAAACTCTGTCCATCTTCTTCACTAGGTGTAATACATGATCCTTCGCCATATGCAAAGAACAGCTTCAACGTTTAAACATTTTAGATAATCAGCAAAGCAGCAAAACACTCAAGAATCCAGAAACCTTATCCATCAAGCTTAAAATTTTCAGCTTTCATTGGCTCAAGCCTCTATCGCCAATCCGACTAAAACCGAAAAAAAAAAATCCTAAATAAACACCAAAACTGGCAATTGGAGACAGGACAGTTTCGTACACCAACTTAGGCAGTAGATTAACATGTCAAAGAGAAATCAATAGCAGAATTTGACCGATCATTCGGATTGAAGAATCTTCATCAGCTTACATCAATAAGTTATCGACGGAAATGAAAAATGATATACACAAACAAAAACAAAAAATAGATAAAAGAAGAGATGGCGATTGTAGATAACTGGAATTACGCACCTGAGAGCGGTGGTGAGAGGGAAAGTCGTCGGAATCGTCGGAATCATTGTCTATGAACTCGTAATCCATAGTGATGTCAGCTTCGTCGGAGTCGGCACCATCGCCGCTGTAAAAGTCATCGTCGAGCGACTCGGCGTCGTTGGCGTCGTGCATCGACATTTCGTCCTCCGAATCCATAACTTTCTCCCCACTCCCGCAATAAATTACTAACTCTAACTAAAAATTTGAGACCAAAAAAAAAAAATGTAAGATAAGAGAAAAACAAAACGGAGATTAAAGATTGATGGAGCTGAAGAAATAGGTTTATAATTCGATGATGATAAAAGGGGGAGAGAGAGAGAGAGAGAGAGAGAGAGAGAGAGAGAGAGAGAAAAAGGTGGAGTACAGGAAAGAAAGACGTAAGTAATTAAAATAAATAAATAAAATAGAAAAAGGTAGAAAATGCGGGAAACTATGGTTACTAAAAAAAAAAAAAAGTTATGGAGAAAGTTTACTCCTATACCTTTGAAATGAAGCAAAGCAAGCATGTACAAATTTTGATTAGAATTTCCTTTTTCGAATTCTTTTACATTATATTATACTCCCTCCGTCCCATAATTATTATCCACTTTACTCAAAAAATTTTGTCCCAAAATTATTGTCTAATTTGACTTTTTATGGATCAAGTTATACATTTGTCCTTAGTAAAAAATATTATCCATAAAATCTTAGTGGTTAAACAATTACTTATGTAGGGGTACATCCGGTTGTTTAAGATAAAATATAATTAAGTTTGAAAAAAAAATAAAATTTTTTATTTTAGTAAAACTGGACAATAATTATGGGACGGAGGGAGTATATGCAAATAAACATTTGTAAATTGATTGCATTGGGTTAGATCGATACTCGAATTACGATATAAATGTTGATATCGTTTTTAACAGAATAAATGACGATATTATTTGTATTTATAATTTAAATGAAGAGTAAGCAGCGAGCGAGTTAGTTGAATGTTTGAAGCAGGGGACAATATGCATTACTCTTAACATGGGAGTTCAATAGTGCTGGTGTCAGTTAACGTCCTGATGACTAATTTTAATTTGCATGATACAAAGTTTTAATGTGACATGTCTGAACTAATATGGGTTTTCTTTAAAAAAAAAATGCAATTAGTAAATCTTCGTAATTTTGGATGCAATTAGTACGACTTTGCATATGAGCTAGTATATAGCTTGGATTTGCTGCCTCAACTTTCATTCTGATTTCCCCACTGGTCCTTTGAGAATTGAGAAGAAGTGGGAGAACGTATCTCTCTGGTAACAGAATAAGACGATGCATTGGCATGGAAGATAGCCCATGAACACATCTAGGCTTGGGTTTCTGCCAGAAGTGCTGCTCTAAAGAAACAAGTGAATGTTAGTATATTATTACAGCGAGTTGCTTTAATTATAGAACCTTAACCCTAAGACTTACTATTATTTTAGTAATAACCAGTGCATAGCAAGAAGATGATAATATTAAACATACAACAACAAAAACATTCGACATCTACTTTTTTTTTTTTTTTTTGTCTATTTTGAAAGAATTAAGATTCCACGTCAAACTGAGACTGTGGATCTTCAATTCTTCAAAGAAAGTACAAGGTACAGACATCCAACTATATACAGTGAGCAGACCTTTCTATCGGAGACTGACTCCGTCTCCTTCAGTCCTGTCTACATCGGTATTAGTCACCATTATGACAGCCACTCGGAAGACTTAACATTGCCTTCACGGTTTCTAACATCTCCATTTTGGCAACCCGACAAATTGGCCTTAACCAGTTTTTTCCGTAACAAGGACTCTGGAAACAGGATGTCAACGACGTTGCTGGCACATTTGGCAAATGGTAGACGACTTAGCATTGGCATAAGTGCAGTACTCACACGACCAGTGTCCCGAATCATCAATATTCTTGGAGCTACCTGACTTTGATGCTATACCTTTCCCTTTACTTCCTCTAGCTTTGCTGCTACTAGGTCCTAAACTTTTGGAGCTAGCTGCCCTACTACAGGTACCATGAGAGTCCACATCCGAAAGACCATTTTCTAAAGCACGAACCAGATTCTCAAAGTAGTTGCGTGTCACGCTGCAATGAGGTTACACACATCAGGCAAAAACTATATTCTCGCATGATGCTAATACGAAGCAAAGAAAGTAAAAATCAACTGAGATCCCAAAATCCAACAGGAAGTGAGGATTAATGCAACGTATAGAGCAGAAAGGGCCTCAGACTAAGAGCAGCACAAATCACGATCTAGAAGCTCGCGTAGACTTTCCAGAAAAAGGTAAAAAAGAAGGGACATCTTTTTTGATATATGCAAAAACGATCAATAGTACTAACATCGTTACAGAAGAGATCTTATAAAATAGATAATAATTCAACACAAAACATCAAAGTTTCTCGGCATACTTCTTAAACAAAGTAATTTAAGGGTGACTTGAGACACCAAGCATACATGATGATGCTCAGCAAATTTAGAAATCATAATGTCTAATGGCATTGTCCTGGGCCACCAGCAGATTAGTGGTGAAATTAATACAATATGTCACAAACATAACAAAAGCAGCATTTTCACTCCCTTCTTATTCAGCGACAAAGATCGAGAATTAGTTGCTTCTGAAAGTGATCAAAGAATTGTAACAAAATACAAGATTAGTTCCAACCTGGTAAGGCCTGCCAGCTTTGTTCGGAACTCATTGAAGTCCTTTGATGGACCTTCAGCGTTGAGGTAACCTTGAAGTTCTTTCTCAGCACACTGATGAAGCCTTTCCAATCCAGATTCAGCTTCACCTACACATTTGTATTCCTCAGAAAAGCAAGAAAAAACAGAATAATGATTCAACCCCAGGGAAAGAAACACCAACCTTGTAAGTACTCAAAGAACTGTCTTTTGGCATGTTCATGTTCTGGCAGATAAAATCCATATGCATATGTCCATTTTAGCACCCTCCTACATTCAACTATCTGCAATAGTGTAAGTCAAGAAGTCCAGGTCTCAATAGCACTGGTGAATGATCATGAAGAATCATGGGAATGAAAGACCAAAATCACCTGTAGCCAGGCCTCTATGACAAACTTGAGCTGTGATTCCGGTTGAGACTGTATGTTGCTAAGCTTTTCAAGCTGCAAAGTGTAGGTTAACAGATCAAAGGTGAGTGAAGTTGGACTTAAAATAGAAAGCCAAAACTCAAAAGCCACGTATACTTGAAAAACAACATATATAGGAGAAGAATGCCTACCAACATATACTTCATGATAATCAAGACTCAAAAGCCAAAACCAATTAACTGCAGGTAAAGGTAAAATCTGAAGACAAAGATTGTATCTTTGTTCTATTTAGCAAATAACAAAAGGATAAGGATGGAGTCCAGAAATTAGTGGTTCATCGGTCAGTGATTTCTGCCAAATAGTTCAATGTGAGTGTTGCAAAAAAATGCAACAGACAGTAGAAACTCAAGAGTAAGCAAAGACAAGACAAGGCACTGCATGGCCAATGTCAGGTCTTCGAACAAAAAACACAGAACAGGTGTTGGCTTCACAGTTGGGTGGGGATACGAATACATGATATCCTTTAACCATACAAAACAGAAGTTCACTTTCAGGTTCATCAGAAGCAATGTGTTTGTGAACTCTGCAAACGGTGCCACAAGGTTTCTAAAGAAAAAAAGGTATTCTGCCATTTTGTATTTTCAGAATGTTTCACCTCTCTATTTAACTATGATTGTGGACCGGAGAATATAATTCACATAATCATCTGAAACTAGCCACAGATAATTGAACTCCTGGTTTAAGAGCTGGGAGATAATTGGAAAATGATGAAAAATTGTGGGCAATGATCCACTGTACAATTCGGATTGGTAAGATCTCTTTTGTTAAAAATATCAAGTGATTGGGAAAACCAATAAACATTGGCAGGCACTTGACCAAAACATTCAAGAAATAACTGCATAGACAAAACAGAACAATTGACTGATTAATTTACTTACATGAACAGCCTGCATCTGGCTTAGGTCTGCAAGAGCTTTTTGCCTAGACTGCAGCATGAATAAAATGAAAATTTAATCAGAAAGAGAAAAGCACAAACAAGTTTTAATCTCTACAACAGGGTGATACAAAACAACTTCTATCCAAAGGAAATGGTACAAAGGTGAGGAAGTATAATTTAAGAGCATGCGGTTCAACCTTTCCTGGGCTGGAACCAAACAGCAAAAATAGAGAACACAACAATTATCTCCATATAACACAACAATTATCTCCATATCTTCTCCTTTTCCTCATTCAAAGAGTGTCAAAAATAAAGAGCAAATACCCACTACTACAAATAAATCAAATGGTGTATTCAAGGTTTAGTTTTGCCATAACATGCTTATCACACTCCATCATGGGGCTGCATAATCAATGCTTTAATATCTTCCCAAATGGAATACTTTATCAATTTTGTAAAGCCACCAAGTTTCTGGGTTAAGAAAGATATTTTCCTACAGAACTAAAGCTATTCAACTACAGAAAATAAAAGTCCAAGCACATTGCCTTTTTAGATATGATCGCATCAATAACGATTTGGAACTGAAAAGGTTGACATCTGGTACAGCCACAAAAGCATAACAAAATGACAGAAAACAGAAGAGAATGTACCAAGTGAGGGACAGCCTTGACAAGTTAGGAGATACTCGATTCAGAATTGCTTAAATGAAAAGTCATATCTTATTAAGTACCTTTACAAATTTATTAAAATTTATTTGTTCCATTTTTATAAAGCAGGTCCATGATTGTTTCAAGAAGAATGCAAGAAATGATACTTTGTAAATGTTACAAGAGGAAATACTAAATCGTTAGAACTATTTCCTATCATTGTCAGCATATTCAGTAACAAATGTAGCAATAGATAGGCCAAAAAAACACAAGGAGCAGAGACTGTTCAGGCCCTAACCCACTTCTGCCAACAAGGAACATGGCAAGTGACAACACAAAACTCCTGCTACTCAAAACAAAGTGGAAAGTAAAGAATCTGCACCTACCGATTGGTTGGTGGCCCATCTTTCATAGTAATGTGTATATCTTTCCAAGGAGTTCTTAGCCATTTCTCTACGCTTCTCAGCTTCATCATACTGCAACCAATATACAACACAGAAAATAAAGCTAATAAACCACAAAGGCCATATGCAGTTTCACTTTAACATTTTCAGCATGTTAGAAGCAAGGAGACAAGCTACACAATCTTACCACTCCCTCTTGCTTGGCTGCCTCATAGCGATTGCACGCATAAAAACCGCCAGTTCTCTCGCCATGATCAGTCCATGCACCCAGACAGAGCCTGCACAGATCCTAGTTGATATCATGAATGCGTCATAATGAAGATTTGTTTATAAATTCTTTAAACCAGTCGGAACAAAATGTGTCTACAATGAAGGCATGCTCTTATATAGTTTCTCCTCCTTATTTCCGTTTATGTTATACACAACAATTTTGACTCACAAATTTACAAGATGCGTAGGTCATAGACAAAACAACTACTTTGTTGCAGGAGCATTTTGTGCAAGACCGAATATACTGTCTGTCCCATATTCTTGTCAAGTATGCCATGAGAGGGGAAATTCTCTAGTAGGAATCTTTTTGTGGGGCAGGATCTTTAGGAGGGAGAAGCAAATGGATGATGGGAAAGGAAAAAAAAAGTTTAATTAGACGAGGAGAACTTTTGAAGGATCTAGAACTTTGTAATTTGAATTTGTATGTGCTGGCCAGATATTCAATTGATACCCAGAGAGTGAGTTAAAATTTCGTGAAAATCAGGAAAGAAACTAAAATAAGGTATCAAAGCAAATGTACCAGCAAAATTCATATTTACAAGGTGGCGTGCATGTTATGTGCATGCAGCCTTGGTTCTTCTCAATTGGACGCTTGCACTTTGGACAAGGCTTCGAATTTGCTAATATCCTGAAAAGTCATTATGTAACCACAGTTAACTACTGGAAAGAAGAAGAAAATCAGGCATTGAAGATTTTTATAGCCCACAGACAGAAGCCACAATACAATAATCACAAGACATTTCAAACTTAAAATAAAAAAAACTCCTTGAAGACATGCTGATACATTAAATCCAGAACTAAACCCAATGTTTTAGAGCGAATAGAATATTTGAACAAATTGCGGAAAGCTGAGTTATGACTTCCAATAAAATAAAATCATGGCATTGACACACTCAAAAATCCTTCATTGCTTTTCATTGATCTTATTTTCCTTCAACAATGTCCCCAACTTAGCAGAAAAAGAACCTTACTCAGACTGAAAAATACCATATACATTACACTCTACAATGAGCATAATGATTTCTCATTAACTTTAAAATGTTCTTGAAGTCCAGTAAAAGAAAAATATGCCAATACAACTATAAGTTCACAAGCTGCAATTAACAATCTGCCCCTTCCCACTAGTTGATTTAGAGAAAACCCTTTCAACATCCTTGCAGACAAAAATCAAGGTTTAAACCGGCCAACTGTTCTACCAGCGGCAGACAGAGTTCTGATATGAAATTGCATACCAGTTCATATTTTCAGACTCAGCACTATTCTTTAATATCCATTTGGCTACGGTTCCACAATCAACAGGCCGATGGGCTTCCTCAGTACACTGCAAGTGCATATTCAGTAAGCAAATTGTTCCGGCCAAAATTTACAGCTTCTTTACATCAGAATGGGAACAAAGTTAATGTAGTCAAGATTCACTTCCTGCAAAATGACAAGATACTTACATTCCAGCAAAAACTATATGAACAGCGGCAGGTCACGTCATAGCTTCCACTTCCAACCATAAATTCAACAGCATATTCACACCCCGGAGCTGGACACCATTTTGTCTGCAGATCCACCCAAAAAATTCAAATTTAGAATACATATAAAGTAAATAATAATAATAATAATAATAATAATAATAATAATAATAATAATAATAATAATAACTACTCTGTTACATTAACCAGGGATGGCGAGTCATAACAATTTCAATTGCTCAACAGAAACAGGAAATAGAGACAAGACTGATAAAATCTTATGCAATGTGCATTGCCGAGGGCTTAAGAAGTTAAAGCTCACAAATTTATGAACAGATCTGAACCAAAACCAAGAAACTCTTTACAGATACATTAGCTAATCCAGCACAAAGATACCAAATTGTTGGTATTGCAATTTATTCTTACATTATGCGGAAATAAAAATTGAAACAATTCCAATGACATTAGGAAGATATGAAATTCACCGGACACTGCTTGTGTGCCACCATTTACCTTCCGGTTGTCTTCAATGAAGGATCTAATAAAGTAGCGGTTATACTTCTCTTTTTCCTCTGTCGGAGCTAATGAATTAATCATATCTTGACCAACAGCGGCGCCACAAGAGGGATCAGGACATCGTAAATTCAAGCATCCAGGACCGTCATTTATTGACGAGCTAATATATCCTGCAGTCAAGAAAAGATAAATATAAACATCAGGAAATGTCAGGGTTCCACTCAAATCTAGGGTGTTAATTTGAAAGAAACAACGATCAAATCGGGTGTGTATATTTTTGTGATCTCAACTTGAAGATAAGCAGGAAACTCTAATTTCCGACTCATGCATTTACATAGTTTCGGTATCCCATACTTGTACATGCCAGAAGATTATGAGAAGATTATGAACAGAGCTTCTCATTAGCTTCTATTAAGTAAAATTCTTATCTTGAGAAAGGTCAATTCAACCCCCTTTACCAGCCAACCCAAACTTCCCCTCACCTCAAGAAAAACATTTTCAACAATACTAGACAGGAAATTGGGAAAGAAACTGGTTACCGGGAGATCTATACGAAAGGGTGGGGGGTGGGGGGTGGGGGGTGGGGGGTTAGGGAGTGGGGAGGGAGTGGGGAGGAGGTGGGTGGAGGGAGGAGAAGGTGGGGAACATGGATTATGCTTACAACAACCCCCACTACACTTTCAAAAGTTAGAAATTAGTATATAGTCTTACAATGTTTCCTACGAAATTGTTCAGCTGGCTATCCTTTATCCACTTGGATTTACTTATGCATGAAAAGTACATCTCTAATTAAATAATGTAGAAATAGTATCTTCTTGTCAATCACAGTAGAGAGATGACAATAAGGCAATCACATGCACCTCATAAAAGAGTACATGCAATAACCAATCAAAATTTTTAATCCACATCAACAAACCTTGCCAACAGGTGACACAAAATGGATGGCTACAAGCAGCAGACCGCATCATATCCCGAGGATAATTCTCAAAGCAGATTCCACAAGTCAGCTGCAAAAGATGAGAATCAGAAGAAGTCAAGAACTTTGGCAAAGATCTAAACAAATATTATACTAAAAAAGAGGCAGCCAATAACCCCTGCACCTACCAAGTACCAACTGTTAACGAAGGGGGAAAAAACACATCTTTGGATTCAGGAAAGTAACATCTAAGAACAAGTTGCCAAGTAATTTCAAGGAAGACCTATCACCTCTTTCGCATCAGGAAGTTGAACCGGATACTCTAACAAGCCAACCAGCCTCCGAACTTTTTCTTCATCTGCAAACCACTCATCATTTACTTTACTGACACTCCTGTTAGTCAACACAAGTTGGCTTTTTTAGTAGGATCATACAACTTAACCACTAAAATACAATAATAAACTACTCAAAATCTGCAAAATGGAAGGAAGGAAAAAAGCCCAAAACTAACAAAGATATCTATTTTTAATGCTCAACCATTTGCTTCATTACATGTCTTCTAGTGCAAGCCCAATGCTCTACCAGAAAAGACCCTTTAAATGTTCTACCAGGTGTTTCATTATATGACTTCGAGAGCCAGGCAATGTTCTATCATAAGCAAGAGAGGTGATTTGAATTTTTTCTTTCTTCCCGCATGAACTTGTTTTGAGAAAACTTTGGTGAATTTTACACCAGACTCCTTCCGTACAGCTTTGGAGAGTATACCCTTAACATTCTGCGGGACAATGCTTTAGTAAATGAGGTCAGGCCCAGCGCATGTGAAGCCACCCAGCGCATAAACTTTCACATGTTCCCAGTGGAGGGACATGACAACTCTACAAGAGGTTTACAGAGCTCGTATCCTGATAATGCACAGGGCACTTACTGGAAAAAAGCAGCCCCATGAATAGAAGCTCCCACATGCACCAAGTTTTAATAGGGTAACACGATTAAGGCCTAATGTATGCAGTAATGCCTGTATAGCTATAAACAGTTCAATGCAAAACTTGTACCAATGACCTCAAGTTATACGGCAACAGCACTTATAACTGCGCCAAGGCTCCCCTTGTTTAATGAAGTTCTATTTGGTCAGACAAAACCCAAAGAATTTCTTTATCAGTTGACACTTTAGTAAAAAGTCCAAATGGATCAGTTCACAAAACTTATAATCAACAGAAAAGAAGAAATCATATTCGAGCAAATGTGCCATTCTATTGACCCTATGACACAATACTTCATGGAAACTCAAGCAATAAATAAGTTTCCGTATTGAAAAGTTCAAATCAGATCATAATATGTGGACAAAAAATAAACTTCATCCTCATCGCATGAAATAAAAAGGATCATTTAGCCCTTGTTTAATCAGATGTAATTAGCAAAAATTGTTTCCGCCAAGACTTTGATTGAAACCAATCAAAGAGAAACCACAGCAAGACAGCTCACCAGTTATAATGGCGGAGAAGAATACTAGCAGCTATCCTTGATATTGAAAGAACCACAGCTACCTGCGTAATATTTTCCTCTTGACGCTGACATATATCAGCTTCAGCCAAGACCGTATAGTTTGGCTGCAACATTGCAAAGTTAAGAAAAATTCAGTCTTAAATCCGCAGGAAATTAAATAAACATTACGACTAATTCAATTAGAGGTTTATGCATACATGAAAACATCGATTGAAAAGGAAGCACAATGACTCAGAATTGCCAGCACACAACAAAAATTCACAACAAGTTTATCCTACTATGCCTAAACCCACTATGCAAAAGAAAATCTAATACAAAACTGAAGGAAAACATAATCAACATGCAAATCCCCACAACTCGAAAACATTCCCCTTTTCCACTTTTTCAGTTGCATGTGAGAGAATATGCCTCCAGATGAATAGCCGGATTGGAATACTAATCGAAGCAAAAAAAAAATATGGTTTAGGGTACCAGAAATGAACTGATCTTTACAAATTATGAGTAAATAATTTTGAAAGACTTACAACAATTTCAGGACTTATTCAACATACTTCAAGTGTACAATAATTTGAGCTTTTGCAAGCAGCGTATAGAAATACTTCCTGTAAATGTATCAAACAGAATCCTTTTTTGCTTGAAATATTGTTCCACACAATGGGAAAATATAACCTTATTCGCTTGGCCGAAAATTTCATTTCAGCTCTAAGATGTTCCATGAACTGGGATGATTGGCTGTTGACTCGCAAAATGGAGGGATAACACAATTGGTCATAGACCCAGGGCTGGTGGATGAAACCACTATGGACAGACCAATAAGAGCTTAAAAATCATTTGAAAATGTGCTGAAACATCTGTTATCACTTAAAAAAGTAAACAGTTTCAAAAAGAAGGTGTGCTAATGTTAAACATTATGAAATTCATGTTTGAAACAGCTAAAGGGCAACCATTCAGTCAGACTATTGGTATGTGGTTCTTGGACATTTCTAAAATTACTCAAGTAATGCTTTTATAAATTTTGAAATCACATTAAGAAAGGTCTCCCGCCCCAAAAGAAAAAAACAGAAGAAACACCAACACACACAGATAAGTACTCTTCTTTAATATCTGACTCTTTTCTGCTGTTCTTTCCCCCTATCTTTCCTCTCCAATTTTTCTGTACTTGTCTTAGCGTCTCTAGTTGAATTCCTAGAATTTACACCATACACCACAAAAGCAGACGCATTCCAACTTAACTTCTTCAAGCAAGAAACCAGGTATAGATGGAAACAGATGATAAAATTTTCAAGACATGGTTTTCTACATAAATGTCAAAGCTTTTTCCTATTTGCTTTCCACTCCCTCAAAATACGACCTATATCAGTTCTCATGTTAAACAAACTCTGTACCTCCCAATCTTTGAAAGTAGCAGAGCAAACTCCAACTGACACTGAACTAGAGATCAAATTCATTTATAACTTTCCTACTAGATTGCATTACAGAAGTCCAATTGCAAATCCTTGTGTCCTGGTAAACAGAAGTTGATCGGGTCTCAGTTGTAACTAGACGTTTGGACCCAGGTGAAGAAACAAAACAGTTGGCAGAGTAACGGTTACCTATTTATTTTGAAAGCATACATCAAACTGACCTCTACAAGGCCTACTTTTTGTGATCGTTAGCCAAACTAGATAGAACATCAAACTATCCTATGACAGAAAGGCAGCTTGAAAAACACCTACCCGGCTCCAAATGATCTCCTTCTATCAACTGCTTTGACGGAAGAATCCCCAGATGAGTTCTACCTTTTACATCAAACAAGACCACTGAAAGTCGGGATTATCTCGGGTTTACTATCAAGTTGTCTGCTTTACTCAGTAAGCAAGGAAACGCCTAAAACTTTTAAATGCTAAATGTATACGGGACAAAGGTTTCATTAAACAGCTACCCCGCAAAGCATAAACCCTATCAAACTTTTAAAATTTCCACAACTTCACCAGGAACCCACTCTGAAGTTTACTAACAGGCACTAGACCCCAAATGAAAGCTAAAACTGCCGACTACGGCCCTTAGTAAGCTCCACTTAGAAACTCACGAAAATATGAGCAGATAAACAACATAAATTGAAATCATAGCTCAGCTGATCGATAATTGAGCTACCAGAATCCCTTTTCCCGTAAAGCATCAATGATCCAACAACGATTATTATGATTAGAAATGGAAATGATGAAAATACCTGAGAGCGGTGGTAGGAGGGTAGGTCATCGGAATCATCGGAATCATTGTCTATGAAGTCGTAATCCATGGTGACGTCAGCGTCGTCGGAGTCGGCAGCATCGCCACTGTAAAAGTCATCATCGAGGGACTCGGCGTCGTTGGCGTCGTGCATCAGCATTTCGTCCTCCGAGTCCATAACAACAAAAAATCCTCCCCTTCAACTCTTAACTTAAAAGGCACAAATTACAAATTGAATTTAAATTATGAGAGGCAAAACAAAATGATCAAGCAGGAGAGGAAACCCTAGAATAGCGAGATTGATTGCTGGGAGCTTAGGAAAGTGTAGATATCTAACTCGTGTTCGATGGAGGAAAAGCCAAAGAGAGAGAAAGAGAGAGTTATTTATAGCTTTATGAATGTAGGACAGGGAAGCGGGGAAAGGAGTAGTAGATGGAAAAAAGGAATGGGGCAAAAAGGAAATGCGGGAGTTACTATTATAATTTAAGCTAATTAGTCTCTCGCCCCTCAATTTTTTTTTTGGTAAACTGTAAATGAATTTTTTTCTTAAATATATTTCGGGATATATACCTAGACAAAAATAAACTTTTCAAAAATTTTGTGAACAAACTTATATGTCCCGAATTTAGGAAATCCAAATGGGGGAGAAGCTCGGATTTCGTAAATCCGAATCTCCATAAACTCGGATTATAGAAATCCGACTTTGTGTTACGTAAATCCGATATTAAGTTAATGACAAAAATTAGTGTAATTAATCTAAATCTGGATTTTATAAATCCGTATTTACGAATAAAATATTAATTTCCGGCTAGAGAAAAAAAATGTGTTGAAAAATTAAATTTGGGAAAAACTGGATCACGGTAATCCGAATATACGTAGATTCGGATTACCGAAATCCGAATCTCCTCTGTTTTCATAAAAATGGGGACTCTCAGTTGGCTACAGACTCGGATTTCTGAAATCCGAATCCTTTACAAAAAGTCTGAGTTCGGATTTCGCAAATCCGAGTCTTTGTCAGAACTTAAAAAAAAATTAGACTGGTTTTCACCAGTCCTAAACCTGTTTACAGCACCAACAACAATGAAACATTGGAAAACAGAAATTTAATGGCAACAAAACAATAAACGGCATTCGATTAACAACAAAACAAATCAAGTTTCATACCATAATCAATACAAAAACTACTTTAAATGTGCAAAATACATCAAATGTCTCATTTTTTCGCTTTTCCTTTATTGTGCGCATTCGGAGTGTATTTGTTTGGGCCCTGCGGTTCCTGTCTCCCCTTTTAAGATACGTGAGTATTGAACTCTGTTGTGGTTGGGACTGTCCATCAAACTGAGCCTCAGGTTGGGGTTGGGATTGGGACTCCCCCATGGTGAGAAATTTGACTCCCGGTTGTGGTTGCGACTGTCCACCAAACTGAGTCTCAGGTCCACCAAGGTCAAACTAAGTTTCGGGTCCACCAGCGTCTTCAAAATGAGTCTCGACCTGGATGCGCGAGCCTCGAGAAGAATGTGCTTGATCCTCATTTTGTTGACCCTCAGTATGTTGTTGTGATGTACGAGGGGGGATTGTGACCTTCCTCTTTCTTCCTCCTCCAATCTTATCTCTCGACCACGGTTTTACTTTTTTACCCGGCGGAGGTTGTGAGGGCAAAGATGGATCTTCATCAACCAGGATTTGGGTATCCTCCACCTCCATCTCATAATTTGCGCCCAGGGTTAAAGCAGCATGTGTTTGATTGATGATATCGTCCAAATGCTTGTCGAGTTCTTTGTCTAGGAGATTCTCATCTTCTCGTTTTCCTCTAAACATCTCAGTACTCACGTGAATGTTGTTCAATACTTTACCCTGAAAAGAAATTGGGACGTTAATTAAGAAAGTAAAATTCTAAAAAATAAAAATAAAAACATAAGAAATAATAAAAGAAATATAAAATGAACTCACATATTATTTCACGCGGCTCAAAGAAGTCTCGTATCCTTGATGTTCATAATTACCGGGATTGGATATCAGTCTGACAGTGTTCACCATGAACCATTCATAGTACCCCTCATATACGGAACCAGGATCTCCTTCCTCCAAATCTCGTAGCACGTACTCTTCTCTCCTATTCCAATGACGACGTACTGCGGAATGGTGGTCCACCCAATTATTGCTAGGATACCCAGACATACTGTGGGCGTGATCGAGAAGGAATGTTGCGTTATCTTTAATCATTGGGTGCTTGAGAACATCCTGCATGTATCCAAATTGTCTTACGACTTTGCCCGACTCGTGGGGTTCCCTAATAGCCCAACAGAACATCCAACGCCTGGTCATCCAAATGGTTTGGCCTTGTGTACCGAAATCAGGGAGTCTATGAAGGACATGTGCATATGGTTGCCACCGAAACTGCACGAAAAGAATTTCATTAGATGGTACAACCGGAACGAAAAGAAAGGGGTAATTGATCTCAAAGTAAATATAAATACCAAATTACAAGTACTTACATCTTCAACACGCAGGCTTGTTAATTGATCTCTAAAAGGTGGGGTGCTGCTCCTTGGGGCGTCGCCGTAGGTGTACCTACATTCCCACCTTAATGAACAAAGGGGTACATTTGAATTAGTGAAAAAAATGAATAAGAAACAAAAAGAAATAAACATTAAGTTATTTTGAACTGAAAATACGTACCGCTGAGCTAATGGAGCGGTCTCATCAATCAAATAATCTACTCCTTTTCTTTGTGGCGCGATCCTCTCGATCCGCTCATACGCTCATACCTAGTAAATTGCAATAATAATGTTAAAATTTCAAATTATAACGTCGAAAGCGGAAAATAATTAAAACACAAAATGAAAACTAATACGTACCTGTAGCAAATATAGACACCCAGTGGCGTCGTGCATGGTGTACTGTGATGCCTCGCACAGTCCAGAGTATAAACCAGCCAGCAGTGCCGATCCCCAACTGTATCGACTACACTGATCCAAATCTTCAACCTGGGCTAAGAACTGCAGATTGACAGTGTTTTGCGTCTTATTAGGAAACATGAAACTGCTAATAAAATGCAGTATAAGTGTCCTGGCCATTTGCTCGAATCGATGGAAAGTGAAATTCTCAGGTAGTGCACGGCCCATCTCATCTTCGAAAATACCAACATTGACACATTGGCCATTTACTTGGGCTGGCCGGAATCCCAAATAAGCCTCACATCGATCCCACCATTCATCTGCAGTCCGGCTAACTGTCCTCCCGTACACCGGGTCACCATCCACCCGAATACCAAATAGGACCTCGACGTCTTGTAGCGTCACAGTCGCCTCTCCGAAATTGAAATGGAAACTGTGGGTTTCTGGCCTCCACCATTCCACCAACGCGGTAATGAGGCCGAGATCTACTCTTTTGTACCCTACTTTCATGATCCCCTCAAAACCGGCTCTCCTAATGACTTCCTTAACCTCCGGTGCCATATTTTTGTATATCCCCAAAAATCGATGTCGTATCTACGGCTCTTGAGGCGGAATGTTTTAATGTCCGGTATCTTGTTCTCATGGACAGCTTGGACCTACGCTTTGTTTGACGATATATCATTTTATCTTGTATAGGTCCCGGGTGAAGATGTTTAGGTTGATAGTCATATTGCGAGCCCGATGCCGGCGTCGCCATTTCAATCCTACACAAGGTAACCAATACCATTTCAATCCAAATATGCAAAATAATGATGCAACCAAATACCATATACACTCAGCCAAATAACAAAACTACCAAACCATATACACTCGCCAAAAATTTTAACTACCAAACCATATACATTCGGCCAAATAAACAAAACTACCAAACAATATACACTCGCCAAAAAATTAACTACCAAACCATAAACATTCGGCCAAATAATAATACTAATACAACAACAATCCAAACACTATATCAACACCACTAACATTCACAATTCACAATCTCACACAACTATAATCCAACACAAACACTATATCAACACCACTAACATTCACAATTCACAATTCACACAACTATAATCCAACAAAAACACTATATCAACACCACAAACCAACACAATTCACAATTCACACAACTTAAATCCAACACAAACACTATATCAACACCACAAACCAACACAATTCACAATTCACACAACTTAAATCCAAGACAAACACTATATCAACACAAACCAACACAATTCACTAATAAATACAACACAAACCAACACAATTCACTAATCAATACAACACAATTCAAAATAAACTAAACCACAACAATACACATTAGAAAAAAAAACACATTCGGATTTCACAAAGAAAAAAAGATTTGAAAAAAAAATAAAGAGAGAAAAACTTACACCAAAAGGAGGGAGTCGCCGGTGGGAGAGAGGAAGTCCGGTGGGAGAGAGGGTCACCGGTGGGAGGAGGGAGTCGCCGGTGGGAGAGATGGAACCGGAAGAAGAGAGGGTTTACGGTGGGAGGAGGGAGTCGCCGGTGGGAGGAGGGAGTTGCCGAAGGGCGGAGGGGGTTGCCGGAGGGGGAGGGAGTTCTTAGGGTTTTTAATTTTTAGAATTGGGGGAAAAATGGGAGGGGGAAGAGTTGACCGGGAATATATAATCCCGTCAAACTCGGATTTTTGAAATCCGAGTCCTTTGCAAATTCAACTGAGCTCGGATTTTGGAAATCCGAGTCTCCCCTGTTTCTCCTCAAATTACAACTCTCGGATAGGTTTCACCAATTCGGATTTCCGAAATCCGAGTCCTTTGCAAACTCAAAAAAAGTTTGAGCTCGGATTTCGGAAATCCGAGTCTCCCCTGTTTCTCCTCAAATTGCAACTCATCTTAAGAGCAAACTCATCCTTGTCCACACATGAGGCATCCCATTTCCCCATCTTACTATATACATGGCGTCGGGGTTCTTAGGGTTTTTAATTTTTAGAATTGGGGGAAAAATGGGAGGGGGAAGAGTTGACCGGGAATATATAATCCCGTCAAACTCGGATTTTTGAAATCCGAGTCCTTTGCAAATTCAACTGAGCTCGGATTTTGGAAATCCGAGTCTCCCCTGTTTCTCCTTAAATTACAACTCTCGGATAGGTTTCACCAATTCGGATTTCCGAAATCCGAGTCCTTTGCAAACTCAAAAAAAGTTTGAGCTCGGATTTCGGAAATCCGAGTCTCCCCTGTTTCTCCTCAAATTGCAACTCATCTTAATTGCAAACTCATCCTTGTCCACACATGAGGCATCCCATTTCCCCATCTTACTATATACATGGCGTCGGGGCAATGGATTACAATCCCTTTCCTCATTTTCTAACCTTTCATCATCACTTTCTTCAAAATCACTCTCTCCGGAGACATGACAGTCTTCTTCGCTTTCACTTGGAGCTATGTAGTCGGAATCCGACTCTTCCCGGTAGTCATCTTGTGCAAATAAAGGTGTCTC